TTGAAAAAAAGTGCCATGGCGGCAGTGCCCAGCTTGCGCGTCGCCGTCAAGCCTAAATTCAATAGACGTGTGGCAGAGACGATATTTCGTTATTACATGTTTTTATTATATCAATACATATATACGTTATAGCGTCCGTCTATTAATTTAAATATGCGTTTCCCTTTATTTTGGCCTTGGTGTATTTTTAAGGTATTTCTATTTCTTGATTGGTCAGTTTCTGATAATCCCGTCAGTACCCCCTTTCCTTAGCCAATGGTCAGTGTTTTCTTTGTCGTTATTGTATTTTGGTCATTTTTGGCGCGCTATTCGGCACTCTGTCCATAGGCACTTGACTGACAGGATGGAATTTTGATAGGTAAGACATTTACTAATTTTCACTAAATTAATTGTGCAATTACTAATTCATTTGCTTCCTTTGATTTGTGTAATCGTGATCGGATTTATATATGTACCGGTAACGCTATATGGTTTTTTTTAATTTACTGTATTGTGTTTGTTTTTTATGCAGATTACTGTTACTTATTAGTACTATATCGTCGGCTGTATAGTGATCCCACCGCCCTATTCCACAAATGGGTACGCTCTTAAAAGTCTGATGTATATTCAATTTATTGCGTTTTTAACGATCTGTTCTGTATGTACATGGATGATAAGATTTGCAATATTCTTTATATATAATTATGCTCAATATAGCATGTAACTATTATATTTGAAACTGTAAATCTAGTTAAAGTATTTGTAATTTTAATAGTTCTATACCTACATGTATAAGCGAACAGCTTGTTATCAAAATATTTATATTGTGCTGTATATGTGCGATATCTACAAAGTAATTTATGGTAAAGCCATCGCTAATGATTGTTATATATTGTTACAGGGTGATAAATGTAGTTTTATCAATAAATCGGAGAACCCTTTACAAGTGTGTTTGTTGGTGTTTAAACTGGCAAAGATCTACACTGCTACAGACGAGAAGGCTCATTCCAAATGAATTGTTGCAAAAAAAAAAAAATGCCATTGATAGTTCAGTATAAGTATTGACTTCAAATTCAGCTTACATATATATAGTGATACTTACCTACATAAATTACCCGCCATCTTCTTTCAGCCGCCGTCTTCTTTCAGGGTCCAGCAGCACAGAGCATCCCGGCTGTTTCCGTCAAAATTTTATGCTACTCTAAATCATTCTTATTTTAGTTTCATTTTTATTTTCAACTACATATTTCAGTATCTTTAACAGTTTTCAACAGTATTAAACGGGAAGTAAATTATCGAAAAAAGAAAAAAAGAAAGATATACAAATGTATATGACACCCACAATGCATCGCGCGGAAAAGAAAGTTAAGCCGCCATATTGGCATCGCCTCGCAAAATTTACCACCATAAACGTGAGTCTTTGTCATTGTATTTACAAATTTCGATGTCTGATTATCATTAATATACAATACAAAACGTTTTCTTGATGTACAAGTAATGAAGAAAATGTCGATAAGGTTGTTTCATTTAATGACTAGCATCAGCAACTTGTAGGGGCGATAATCCAATTATTACAGTAATGTCCGGCAGATGGAGTAGGAGTAAACTTTCGATTTATGAACCAATGAAAACGAAGTACTGATACTCAGCCTCAGGGGCGATAGCAACATGCTGAAAAGCATTGAAAAAAAAACAATGCACAATTAAATTTTGAATCCAATATCCTATGATATTTTGTACAAAATTTTATGTTGATGTGAAGGGGACGAGTCTACAATACTGTAGAAGAAAAGTCTGTGTGACATCACCGCTGTCTTAGGTAGTTATTGAAGTGTGATACCCCGCAAAAAGGAGTCCCTTCAGTACCTGGTGTCGGCACCTCTTGCACGAATCCCTGTAGGAATTGTCCTATGGATTGATTTTCCTAAAACACCTGTCCAGCTCATCCCACAGTTGCTCAATGGGAGATATGTTGGGGCTATATATACCCAGTAGTAGGGAAAAGCGTGTAGAGATGGATAATTGGCCGATCGACAACGCAAAGATAACCACGCCTACCGAAAATAAAGGAAGGCTACTCTTACCATCTCCGACAAACAAAGTGTCGTCAGCATTGAACGTCATTCCCAATGATATCGGACTAACGTGTCGTTGAAGAAAAAAACTAAAAGCAAACGGTTTCGTGTCTGGGTCATACTTTCAACGAGCGTCCTTCCAAACAAGAGACGATGATACAGTTGAAATTAATGGCCATGTTTTCCCCAGTCAGCGGAAAAATTTGGGGATATACCCGTTTTCAGTTGAATATTTATGAGGTTTTCCTTTTCAAATAAGGTTAACATGGCAAATCACTGCATTTATTCAATATATATACCAATCAATAGGGAATTCAAAATACTAAATTTGTATCTATGAATTACAGCCCTTTCCGTTATTGAAGGAGTAAAAACTGTCTTTTTCATTTGACGCATATTGCCAGGACCCAGTAAGTCGCCACATTACTACGATCCGTTTTTCAGACGAGTATGTCTGAGACGGTTTTTTACTTTTTAAACTAATTTTATATGTGGTAGCAGTGCAATAATTAAATAAAGAAATATACCGGTCGTTAGGGAATTTAATAACCTAAAATTATGTATATATATTTTTTAGCCCCTTTCCTCCTTGAATGACTTAAAACAGTCCATTTAAGTAGTCACGTACTTTCATTTCCCTATACTCGCCATGTTAAATCGAGTCGATTTCAGTATCTTTTGGTATACTGTGACGTCACTGGTCACTTATTGGGTTTTCAGATTTTTACTCAACTGTTTCCGTGAAATCGATAATTTTGCCATTTTAACAGTCAATGTCGCTTTTATGGTTCATCTTTGAAAATTTTTATTTCTGTAAAGTGGTCACAGTAACCTATATTTTCATATATATAAAAAAAAGATTTTTCGCTGAAGATACCCTTTAAACACCACACAATGTTGAATCTGTTTGTTTTTTTCCTCTTTACATTTTTGCTAATAATTAAAAAGATAAAAGAAAAAACAAAACAAAGTTCAAGTGGTGTGGTTGTTTTCTATGGAGCAGAATTAATGAAATAAAAATAAAAACAGTCGCCATGCAGGGTTAGCTCAGTTGGTAGAGCATAGGCTCCACGACCAGAAGGGTGCAGAGGGCCGGGTGTGTTTGAATCCCGGCAGCAGCAATTTCTTTCACCTCTGTTTCAAGTGGGAAGGAAGTGGTAAACCCCAAAGAAACAAACAAAACAAGTTTGTTTTTACAGTCATATAAAGTCTTTATAAAATGGCCACCAAGATACATCACTGATATAATGGTTACTTTCTAAACTGGCATTAAATTCTTAATTTTTTTTTTTGGTTTTTTTTTTTATTTATATCATGTTAATGGGGTTTTTTTTCATCAAGAATATTAATACCTTATTGGAAGACTTTAAGATTTTATTTCAACTGTTTAACCATAACAGTAAACATTCATTTTATCACAGACCATTCACAAAGTAAAACTTTGTAAAAGAGCAGAAACATGTCCAGATAATTTCATTTCCCTTCAGTCAATAAATATCCGAAAATGGTCAGTCCGAAATCAAGCTTGTTTATAAATACACACATTAACATGCGACTTATTAGCACATGAGAGAGGATTATAAAACTTATGCTAGCAAAATTTTGAGTGAAAAACAAATACTGATGTTCATTGCAATATTGTACACTTGAGTCTGTGAATATTTACGCACTTTTGAGCAGACATAAATAAAAAATGCTTTGCTTTAGAAGGACACCACAGGATCTCCTCGTTAAGTTGATACTTAGGCCGTCCGCACAATCGGAGCCAAGATTTGCACTTCTCATGCTTCATCTGAGATTTGGGAAACGGTATGAACACAACACCTCCCTATAATCGCTCGGGGTAGCGAAATCGGTGTTGCAAGTTCCCCAGCAAAGTATCACCATTGTCGGAGAATGTCGGAGTAGCGAAATGTAAACAAAGAGGCGAATACTGATTGGCTAAACCGCGCTGTCAATCAAAAGCTGTCGATCGGCCAATTGTACACCGGGCAACACAAACTGCTGTGCGACAATGCCAATGGCGATGAACTCAGCAATTGCTCTACCCTTAGAATCTGAGTAAGCGTGACATTGGGTCAATGGAGAAATCAAAATGCCAATGTAGAAAATTAATGTGGCTGAAGTTGGGGGTATCTGTTGATATTATTAATTGGAAAAAGTCTGGCTTGTCCAGATCTTGCCTTATGATCTTACGATCTTACATCATACCTGTACGACCCCTAGTCTCAAATTGGAAGTCATGGGCTAACAAAAATAAATATTGCAGAGCATTAATCTGCTGTTCACAAGTACACGAACTCTGTACCTCAGTGGCACTCCTTTAACTTGTTTGATAAAGTATTACAAGCAATATTTCAATTTAGATTTATAAATGATGTCCAAACTTAAATGCTATGGTTGAACACTTATTTTATTCAAATGACCATAGAAAGTTTGGACAGTATGAGTACTGGGTATGCTTTAATTCAAAAATTTTGTGACTCCCACAAAATAAGTTCCCAAGGTCTTCAGAGCATGAACTTTTAAACAAAATTTTTCAAAAACCTCCGTAACGTTTTCGGTCACAAATGAGACGCATGATAAAAACACTATGCCCCTAGTTGCAACAAACTCTTAAAGTAGGACATTAAAACTACTGTGTAAGGCATGCAATAACTGCATGCACACTTTGTTAAAACACTTGTCCCCTTTGTTGTTAAGATATGACAGATTAAGTTCAATATTATGTGGCTCATGTAAAAAATGTTCAAATGTAGGTCACATCGTCAAAAACTTTGGTACCACTGAAAAGACATTGTCACAAGGAACACATGCTTGATACGAAAGCCCTGCCTCTTACAGTGCAATAGTTACGGCCAATGTTAGAATTTTTCAAATGTAGGTCAAAGTTCATGGTTACATGGCCAAAATTTTCGATCCTAGGTCATAATAAAATAACCCATATTATCAATATTGTATAATTTCATTAGGCTCAACAGTAATAACAAAACATCAGAAGATACAGGATTCCAGTTAAACTGCTGACAGCACCATCAACCAGAGGCCCCTTTCACCAGATAGTCCTACAATTAACAACATCACTTTATTGAATTTTAATAATTAATAAAGTTAGCTAATTGCTCAAAATAATAAAGACGGTTATTTTTTTTTAACTGTTTAAAATTTTCATTACAATGGACAAAATTCAATTGATCAATTAACACCAAAAAGACTGGCAGTTTTCAATACCACTCAGACCTCTTGAACCTTTGTTTCACCTTATTGATAGTGATTACTTATAAATGAGTAACTTTATCAGTTATATACCTTAACAAAGGCCATGGAATTAGTGGCCTGGAGCCCTAATGATCTCAGGAGGACAACTGGGGTGAAGTCTGTATTGTAAAGTCTCTGTAGACCATCAATTGTTGCCAGAACAGGAATGACTGCTCGCTGTCGAGTTGTCTCATACTGTGTCAAGTGCAGCAGGGAACCTTACAAACCATCAAAATAAAACTAGAACTCTCATGAATTATTTCATATTAACATCATAAATCAGAACTGCAACTGATTTGCAACAGGCTATTATCATTCCATGCTGGTATCAACTTTAGCAAAATTCTTATTTGAGAGAACAATTCATAGATTTTGAAAGAGAGTGAAAAGACGAGAAATTACAGAGTAAGGTTACTATGCCAAGCTGTATGGGCATCAGGAACTCCCAACAGTTGCACTAAAGATTCACTGAAAGACAAGTCCTTAATTTCTACAGGTTTTTTCAGGAAAAACAAAATGAACTTCAATAATTTGCAACCTTTTCACTATGAAGTTTGAAACTTGTCTGAGAAAAAATGATTCTTAATATGTGGGTGAAGCTAGAGTGATAGCATAAAGTGCTATGTTTTCTTTGCTGCAAATGGAAAATAACACTGATGCTCATAAATAATGCTAAAGAGAAATTGTAACCTCACTGGACAAGGAAAAACAAAAAGTATGTCATCAGTTCCTCTCTCAATGAGAAGTCAATCATGACAGCTTACCCACATCACTGCCATTGGAAACAGTCTCAGCCAGAAGGTCCCGCAGACAAGCCACATCCCCAAACCCTAAGTTTACTCCTTGACCGGCCAGAGGATGGATTCTGTGTGCAGCATCCCTGTGAATGTGAATCATGTATCTAGTTCTGTTACTGTATTTGATCTCTTTAAGTTTCATTCCCCTATAAGTAATGCCCTAACTTTTCCTGGGAAAGAAGACAGGTATGCTTATCATTAATGAAAGTCTGTAAAAAGTTTGCTTAGTTCATTGGTTGTCTTCAAATAAAATATCCAACAATTAAGTAATTTGGCTGACCATTCAATCTTTTTCAAATTCAAATTCATTATGTTTCAACATACTTTCAACAAATTTCTGTAAATAGTTTTCAAAAGCACAGAGAAGTAAGGCATCCATTTTCTTTTTTCAATACAAAAAAATGGTCTGCATGTGGTTGAAGTGACTGTAAAAGTATACCTGGACTAACAAATACTATCCCTGCATTGTTCTGGTATGTTCACTGGTAGCAGTACACAGTTTCTGTTGTGGCCATTGGTGATTTTTTTTTGTTCATTAGATTACCTCATTATAAAGGTTTTAATTAAAATTAAAGAAAATAAATCCTTGCTAAAATTGGTCTTGTCATGTTAAAGTGGATAATGTGGGGTTTCATTTTTTCAGTAGGTAACCATGGCAATCACATGTCAGAAATCAGAGGAAATGTTTGATTTACACAAATTTTATCTCTCTACTATTAATGTAATGTATAAATATATATACATGTAATGATGTATTTTTCATAACCAATCTTCTATACCTGCAATCTCAAACATGACCAATAATTTCAGGAAAAATGCAAATTAACTATTTCCTGCTACCACAACCTTGTGGAAATGTCAGCAGAGACATCAGAAATAAGTTACCAGTAAATTCATGAGTAATGACTTGTTTTACATTGTGGAACAAGACAAAATTATCTATACATTTTACTGCTGGTTGTTACAGGTGACTAAACATCAAGATGAATCTATAATACTTGTAACAGGTTCTTACCCCAGCAATGCCACCCTGTGAAGAACATAATTGGAGGCATGAGTCATGGAAAGGGGGAAGGAAGCCCTACTGTTTGCCTCTACACCCACAACTGATGGCGGTATTTGCTGAAATGAACCACCTCCTCCTACAAAACAATAAGCAGTACCAGAAATGTAGACTTGCTTTTAAATGTTAGGGGATTATCATTAGTTTAAAACTAACAACTTCCAATATGATTCCATATTTCAACATAAAATGATGCAATAATGCATTTACTCTGTGTTATCCAGTCTATCTGCCTGCAGATGACTGTGGGAGCTTATCCCAACCCCTTTACCATAGTCTGGTGAAAATGCATATTTTGAGGGCAGAAGAAGTCATGTGATGCGTGATGTTAAAGTGTTATTTCAATTCCCTAAAAAGACACGCCTTCATGTCATGCCTTTATTCATTTTCATACATTCCAACTTATTTCAAAGCAAAACCTACCTTCATATATGTACATAGTGCATTGTCTATGTAATGATTATTTAATTTGAAAGAGACATAACAAGAAGCAATGCAATTACCAAAACCACCTTGTCTGAGATGGTCCATGGCTATATACCTTGAAAAACACAGCTAAATACATATCAACAACACCTTGGACTTAACTTTGTGACTGATTCATACAGCAGAAATCTTCAGGAAAATAATTTTTGTCCTATTTCTATACATGCTCTCAGTAATGAGTGAATTATATATTTCGAGACCAAATCAAATTTTATAATGAATAATATGAAAATATATAAATGAAGTGGTTGAAAAAGATCATTTTTATGTGACCTGTCTATCTGAACAAATCCCTCCTGACAAAAGACAGCAAAACTGAATAAAGACCTTATAACGTGAAGTACTAGTTAAATAGAGATGACTTAAAGTTTAACATGAGGGGACTATCATTAGTTTACCTCACCTTCCGTTGTTGTATTTAACACTCTTTGGAACATTTCCCCCGCCTTCACCACCAAATCATTCCTGTCTCGGTCATGCCACTAAGAAATCAGAAATCAAATCATTACAGTTTTTATCATTATCATTTTCAAACTGATAATAAAATCCTTTAAGTAATTCTTTGTATCACGATAACTTTGACCTTCATGTCATAACAATCAGCTTTCACAATCACCTTTCAAAATGAAATAAAGTCAAGTTGATCAATCCAAAAGCCCTCCTCTACAAAATAAAACATAATGGTAACGTAGTCTACATCCATTGATAACTAAGAAAAAACATGATTCTCATTAATGAATGGGTACAGAAAAGCTCAGGAAATCAATTGTAATGTTACAAAGGACTTACAAAAGCATCATTAACAGCATCAACAAAACTCTCCTCTGGGATTTCCTTCAAGTTCCTGGCAAGGTCAGGTGTTGTTGTCCATATAAGATTAGAATATTTATTGGACAGCTGAAACAACATCACATTTCAAAACTTAAATTATAACGATTTTATAGAACAAAACAAACACATTCAATCTAGTACTTATTCAGCAAATTCTGTATTATAACCAACCCCATGGAAATTATTTTTTCAGAAAATACTGTTCCTGTCTTGACCTCTAAATACATGTTAAAAATAGTGTACTTGTAACAGAAACAACTTCTGTGTGACAATTCAAACATTGTCATTTGAGATATTTTCAATTCAGATTGATATTACTGACTCTCTAGTGTAAACATGTACCAGTTAAAAAGTCACAACATTCAACAAATGATTAGCTGTTATATCTGGTAGACTGGTATGGTTTTATTTATAAGAACCGTCGGAAATGTTCATAGTAACCATGGTGTACTGCATATGTTGATTCTTACTCACTGGCAGCATGGCAATAGGACCTGTTGGCAAGAACCGTTGCCAAGCTACAGAGTTATCAACTGACTGAAAAGGCAATAAAAAAATAAAAGGTTTGCATGACAAAGAAAACAAGAGTCCCATGGACCTTAACGGTCATCTGACATAAAATACAAGATTTCAAATTTTGAACTTATTTCACCTGGATTTAAGAATCAAGGGCACTCAGCCACCACCTTGAAAGTGGGTTAAGGTTATTCATTTCAACAAACTTTGTAAACCTTCATCCCAGCATGCTACAGGCCAAATATCATCACCCCAGATGTTCTGGTTATTCAGAGGATGTTTGAAGAAACAAACTTTGGTCAGTGCCATGTCATGATCATTTCATGCCAGTTTTGGCCACATATACAGGTGATGGTGACAGAGATAGGGAGAGGTCACATATACAGGTGATGGTGACAGAGATAGGGAGAGGTCACATATACAGGTGATGGTGACAGAGATAGGGAGAGGTCACATATACAGGTGATGGTGACAGAGATAGGGAGAGGTCACATATACAGGTGATGGTGACAGGGATAGGGAGAGGTAACTTATACAGGTGATGGTGACAAAGATAGGGAGAGGTCACATATACAGGTGATGGTGACAGAGATAGGGAGAGGTCACATATACAGGTGATGGTGACAGAGATAGGGAGATGTCACATATACAGGTGATGGTGACAGAGATAGGGAGAGGTCACATATACAGGTGATGGTGACAGAGATAGGGAGAGGTCACATATACAGGTGATGGTGACAGAGATAGGGAGAGGTCACATATACAGGTGATGGTGACAGAGATAGGGAGAGGTCACATATACAGGTGATGTTGACAGTGATAGGGAGAGGTCACATATACAGGTGATGGTGACAGAGATAGGGAGAGGTCACATATACAGGTGATGGTGACAGAGATAGGGAGAGGTCACATATACAGGTGATAGTGACAGAGATAGGGAGAGGTCACATATACAGGTGATGGTGACAGAGATAGGGAGAGGTCACATATACAGGTGATGGTGACAGAGATAGGGAGAGGTCACATATACAGGTGATGGTGACAGAGATAGGGAGAGGTCACATATACAGGTGATGGTGACAGAGATAGGGAGAGGTCACATATACAGGTGATGGTGACAGAGATAGGGAGAGGTCACATATACAGGTGATGGTGACAGAGATAGGGAGAGGTCACATATACAGGTGATGGTGACAGAGATAGGGAGAGGTCACATATACAGGTGATGGTGACAGAGATAGGGAGAGGTCACAGAGATATACAGGTGATGGTGACAGAGATAGGGAGAGGTCACTATACAGGTGATGGTGACAGAGATAGGGAGAGGTCACATATACAGGTGATGGTGACAGAGATAGGGAGAGGTCACATATACAGGTGATTGTGACAGAGATAGGGAGAGGTCACATATACAGGTGATGGTGACAGAGATAGGGAGAGGTCACATATACAGGTGATGGTGACAGAGATAGGGAGAGGTCACATATACAGGTGATGGTGACAGAGATAGGGAGAGGTCACATATACAGGTGATGGTGACAGAGATAGGGAGAGGTCACATATACAGGTGATGATGACAGAGATAGGGAGAGGTCACATATACAGGTGATGGTGATGGTGACAGAGATAGGGAGAGGGAGAGGTGACAAAAATAGGGAGACATATACAGGTGGTGACAGAGATAGGGAGAGGTCACATATACTGTTGATAGTGACAGAGATAGGGAGAGGTCACCTATACAGGTGATGGTGACAGAGATAGGAAGAGGTCACATATACAGGTGATGGTGACAGAGATAGGGAGAGGTCACATATACAGGTGATAGTGACAGAGATAGGGAGAGGTCACATATACAGGTGATAGTGACAGAGATAGGGAGAGGTCACATATACAGGTGATGGTGACAGAGATAGGGAGATGTCACATATACAGGTGACAGAAGCAGAGATAGGGAGAGGTCACATATACAGGTGATGGTGACAGAGATAGGGAGGGGTCACCTATACAGGTGATGGTGACAGAGATAGGGAGAGGTCACATATACAGGTGATAGTGACAGAGATAGGGAGAGGTCACATATACAGGTGACAGAGATAGGGAGAGGTCACGTATACAGGTGATGGTAACAGGGATAGGGAGAAGTCACATATACAGACGATGGTGACAAAAATAGGGAGAGGTCACCTATACAGGTGATAGTGACAGAGATAGGGAGAGGTCACATATACAGGTGATAGTGACAGAGATAGGGAGAGGTCACATATACAGGTGATGGTGACAGAGATAGGGAGAGGTCACATATACAGGTGATGGTGACAGAGATAGGGAGAGGACACATATACAGGTGATAGTGACAGAGATAGGGAGAGGTCACATATACAGGTGATGGTGACAGAGATAGGGAGAGGTCACATATACAGGTGATGGTGACAGAGATAGGGAGAGGTCACATATACAGGTGATAGTGACAGAGATAGGGAGAGGTCACATATACAGGTGATAGTGACAGAGATAGGGAGAGGTCACATATACAGGTGATGGTGACAGAGATAGGGAGAGGTCACATATACAGGTGATAGTGACAGAGATAGGGAGAGGTCACATATACAGGTGATGGTGACAGAGATAGGGAGAGGTCACATATACAGGTGATGGTGACAGAGATAGGGAGAGGTCACATATACAGGTGATGGTGACAGAGATAGGGAGAGGTCACATATACAGGTGATGGTGACAGAGATAGGGAGAGGTCACATATACAGGTGATGGTGACAGGTGATGGTGAAAGAGATAGGGAGAGTTCACTTAGGCAGTGGATGGTGACAGAGATAGGGAGAGGTATACAGGTGATGGTGACAGGAGAGGTCACATATACAGTGATAGTGACAGAGATAGGGAGAGGTCACATATACAGGTGATGGTGACAGAGATAGGGAGAGGTCACATATACAGGTGATGGTGACAGAGATAGGGAGAGGTCACATATACAGGTGATGGTGACAGAGATAGGGAGAGGTCACATATACAGGTGATGGTGACAGAGATAGGGAGAGGTCACATATACAGGTGATGGTGACAGAGATAGGGAGAGGTCACATATACAGGTGATAGTGACAGAGATAGGGAGAGGTCACCTATACAGGTGATGGTGACAGAGATAGGGAGAGGTCACATATACAGGTGATGGTGACAGAGATAGGGAGAGGTCACATATACAGGTGATGGTGACAGAGATAGGGAGAGGTCACATATACAGGTGATGGTGACAGAGATAGGGAGAGGTCACATATACAGGTGATGGTGACAGAGATGATAGTGACAGAGATAGGGAGAGGTCACATATACAGGTGATGGTGACAGAGATAGGGAGAGGTCACATATACAGGTGATGGTGACAGAGATAGGGAGAGGTCACATATACAGGTGATGGTGACAGAGATAGGGAGAGGTCACATATACAGGTGACAGGTGTGACAGAGATAGGGAGGGAGAGGTCACATATACAGGTGATGGATGACAGAGATAGGGAGAGGTCACATATACAGGTGATGGTGACAGAGATAGGGAGAGGTCACCTATACAGGTGATGGTGACAGAGATAGGGAGAGGTCACATATACAGGTGATGGTGACAGAGATAGGGAGAGGTCACATATACAGGTGATGGTGACAGAGATAGGGAGAGGTCACATATACAGGTGATGGTGACAGAGATAGGGAGAGGTCACCTATACAGGTGATGGTGACAGAGATAGGGAGAGGTCACATATACCGGTGATAGTGACAGAGATAGGGAGAGGTCACATATACAGGTGATAGTGACAGAGAAAGGGAGAAGTCACATATACAGGTGATTGTGACAGAGATAGGGAGGGGTCACATATACAGGTGATGATGTTTTGAGAGTGTAAGAGGTCACAAAAAGAGACAATATTATTTAGATAGTCACATCTACAGATGATGTGGTAGAGATGTTATGAGGTCACATACACATATAGGATGTGTTTGAAATATTGACAGATTAAAAATACAGGCAATGATGTTTGAAATATCGACATATTAAAAATTCAGGTAATGATGTTTGAAATATTGACAGATTAAAAATTCAGGTAAGGATGTATGAAATATTGACAGATTAGAAATACAGGTAATGATGTTTGAAATATTGACAGATTAAAAATTCAGGTAGTGATTCATGTAATGATGTTTGAAATATTGACAGATTAAAAATTCAGGTAAGGATGTATGAAATATTGACAGATTAAAAATACAGGTAATGATGTTTGAAATATTGACAGAACAAATTTGCAGCAAGAGCTGCAGGTTGAGGTGATGAATTTGGATATTACCAGGTACATTACTGTAAGGTCACTGTGACAAGCATGGTAATATGAGTAAATTGTTCCAATAGCATGTCAGCACACTGACAATTAATTACTTATATTTGAAAACACTTCGCAATAATATCTCATATGTACCAAATTTCACTTCCCATGCACATATATTGTAATGTAAACACATGTCCTGTGAAATACAATAAACCCATTTTCTAAGCCAAGAAACAAAAACTTATATATTTTGTTTTTATCTGAGAGATCTTGTAAGGTCAAATTCTAGTTACCAGGTATTATAACATAAATCAATACAAAAATAAGGTTGTCATGAGACAAAAAAATCAGCACACAATATAAATCATCAGTATCATACCTCATCCACTTGAAGCGTGGCTACAACAGCTGTCTGATTATAATCCCTTTGTAATGTGTGAAATTCACCTGCTTTACGCACTGCAGAAAATATACCATCAGCTCCAATCTGAAACATGTTTTCCCATAAATGTTCAGTGAGCAAAGACTACCTGATATCCATGACTTATAATATAAAACATCAGTTTGTTAGAATGTAACTAAAGAAAAAAGATTGAAATGATGTTTGTTAATTTTTGTCTTGATTTTATTTTCAATTGATTGTATTTACCTTAAATTACATTTGTACATGACAATTCAATAATTTAATCCATTGCAACAACATAACATGAATTAGAATGACATACCAGAAGTTTTGTTTTCAGCACATGGTTGTCCTGTAGTCCAACAGTTACCCAGGAATTTTGGTGTGTTTCTGCATGTCCTGGTGTTACTCCTGGGATGATGTAGGATTTAGCCGATGTCTGATACCTGACATCCACACGGTCTGACACTGCTTCTAAACGCTTTCTCAGTGCTTCTTCTATAACATCATTCTCAGCAATATAAGCCATATCATCTAAGAGATTCTCTTTGCTGAATGCAATCAGGGAATCTGAACAGGAATCCCAAACCTACGAAAACAAATAAAAAATGGTTTCCCTACACCAGGGATGTTTCCCAATAAGGCTAAATCAATGATTCAAACAGAAGAATTTTGCGATCTAGTCTTTAATGACTGTGAGCCATCCCTCTGTCCCCTTGTCCTTAGGCTAGGTGGGATAAAGCCTCTATTTAAACAAAATAAATCCTGTTTACCAAAGGATGTTCAAGCTGGTGGATTGAAATTTTTTCAAACAGAACTGAAGACATTTGACCTTTTTTGAACTTAATTGGGCCACGTTCCTGTGGAGGCTAGATCTTTGTGTACATTGTATTGTAGTATGTGTATCTACCATATTACAAGGATAAGTAAGCTTAAGAGAAAACTGGTATATATGTACCTGCATTCTTTTCACAGGATGACATCGCATGTTTTCTACTTCTTCCCATGCACCAACACCTGACAAAAAAGTTTCATGTATATGCCAGTTTATAACATCAAAGAACAGATGTAGCATCTCTTAAATTTCTTTTACAAAACCATTTATAAAACCACTGATATTTTTTTCAATATTACATTGGCATTGTTCAGTCTGCAGGTATCTGGAATGATATGTCCACTAGGAGACAAATCTGTTTAGACATCATTCTAATGCAGGTTCTACATTTTTCTGCTATGCAATTGACAAGTGTATATTATACAAGAAGCCTAGCACCCTTGACAGTTACCTGAGATAAGCAATATTGAATATAAAGATTGAAGGGTAGCTATCAAGCCTCATGAAACAGAAATTGTGACACTGAATATTCACATGTGTATAATATAAAAGCTATCAGGATAGATGAATCCTTCAGTGTTGGAAACATTATCCATAGATTAGATTACTTAAGTATTTTATACATGTGGAGAAGTAGAGAGTACAATACTGATTACTTCAACCATGTTTGGCATTTGGAGAAAATTAGTCTTGACTCAGCCTAATGGGAATTCAACTTCAGCCAGTAGTACAGGTTGCCCTGAGAGTGCAAGGTCACTAGCTCAAGCCCAAGCAAGGTCACAAGATATTTGACATTACATACAACAAATGTTCTAACTCTTTTCCCTTTGATATCAAATGGAATTGACATTTTCATTATTTTGATATGATTTATCCCATTTTGTTGATCAGAAGGAAAGTGATAGGGTATGATTAGAAATATCCTAATGGAATTCAGAAAGATAGACTGTGTTTCTTACTGTTAAGTAAGTCTACAGATGATGGACTTATAGCACATGTTCTGTTACTGAATGTATCTGGCACAGTGTAGTTCTTCTTGGACGCAGCTTCCAACAACACAATCTTCTTGTCTTTTAGAAGTTCTTCATGACCTAGCATTCAAAATGTTTGAAAATATCAATTCTGAAAATAACAGCATCATTGATCAAAAGATTAGAAAACCTGTCAGATACTGTATCGCCTTGTCAGACTTATCTCGGATGCCAATAAATAGGCCATGCTTTCTTGCAACTTTTAGGCTGGGGAAATCCAACCATGCATGAATTATATTGAAAAAATGATGATTTTTAAATCATCACCTTTGAGAACTCATTTTTTATTTTATTTAACAATTGAGTTGTAGACAGAAAGATGAAAAACTAACTTATTTAAAAAGTTTACATTATAACAAAGAAGTTTACCAAGAAATTTTACTCATTTGAGTAAAAAAAGACCAAACCATAAAAACCTGAATCTAAGTCCTACGAAAAATTGCACACACAAACACTGATATCCACCACTTTCGCACAATGAATTTCTCTTCAATTTCATCAAAATGTCATTCCTCTTTGAATGATGATTTTATGTAATACATGTGTACATCAGGGTCACTGTATGCTAATTATAACTCAAGCGTTTCAATAATTAGTGATGTCATCAGAAACGGAAGTGCACACACACGTCCAATACTGATGTCGCCAATTTCAGGTGAGCGAATTAAGGTCGGATCTGTAGATTTTTTTATAAGTGTTTCATCGGTCAGTTTTTTTTTCAGTAAATGTTAAAGTATGAAAACATTTGAATTCATTTATATATTTGTTTGGTTGAAATTTATCAACGTAGAGTAGCTAGCGATATATGATTCTTAAGAGGTCAAAAACTAATGTGCCAAAGATACATATTGTCTCTGAAAGGGTAAGGCGATTTACTGAAACAGACCCAATTACTGAAACAAGACCAAATCAAGACTGAAACAGAGCTTTTTAAGTAGTTTGGCTGGTGTATTTTCATAACAAACCGCTAACATAATACATTTTAGTTTATTTTGTTAGCAAATAAAAGTCCATGATAACTGATATTGATTTTAAATGATCTAATGTAGTTACCGAAAAAGAACACAAAGTGAGAATACAAGGGGCATAACTCATACGTTCTTATTAATGATGTATTAACAGCCTGCATGCATCATGATTCAATATAGAAATAATTAATAATCATGTCTTTGATTTTTCCTTGGTTTCAGTATTTCCAGAATCCAATGCCTGACAGAAGAGATGAAAACTGACTGTAACAAAAAAAAAAAAAAAGATATTTCAGTTGATCTATTGAAAAAAAAAAATCAAAAACTCTTCAGTCATCTGACCATACAACAAGAAATAAACAATAAAACAAAGAAAGCCATCAGCTACAATGATCAATTAACTTGATGAATTCAATGAGTTTCAAATTAGAATATCATTGCATTGCCAAGGTCTCGGGAACAGAGACCCTACTTTCATGGAGACCCATTTATTTATTTATTTATTCTTATGTACGCAAGTGATTTCATTTTTCTTTTCACAAATCTTTTCTACTTTTCTCATTATATTCTTTATTTTGAAATCTCATTTTTTCTTTCTTTTCTTTCTATTTCTTTTCTTTCCTTTTGTCAATTTCATATAAAACATGTTACATATGAGCAAAATAACACTAAACAGAAACTTTATAAAAAGGGTATATTAAATTTTACAGTAATTATTTGAAATATGAACTGAATAAACAATTGAAAGAACACCATAAGAAGACAGTTTTAAATTATCAAAATTCTGTTATCATAAAACTTTGGCGCTGTAGATTGGCAGAGTGTTACAATTTCGTCACATTTGTCATCAAAACAAATGGAGTTGTCACTGTCAACTAGTCCATTGTCTCCAAACAGTTTTCCTACGATAATTTTTATTTCACTTCTGTCAATTTTGTCATTTTCTAGTCTGTCAACTGCATTTTGCTTCAAATGTCTTGTACAAAGTACTTTGTCTTGGGTCATGAAAGTTGTCGGTGATTGCGTTCACCATGAGTTTTGACTTGTCTACTCCCGTTAGTTTAGATCTAAGATATGAAAAGAATGTACAATAGGTCTCATAGTCCCTGTTGTCATGGATAAAGATAGGTCCTAGAAATAAAGGTTTTGTGTCAGTTCATACCACACTCAATTGTTTAAAACAGGAAGCTGAGTTACGTTAATTTTTAATATAAAATAACGTGTTAAACAGTGTTTTGAAGCAATCATACTTAAATACATTACTATAATAACGACAGAGAACACAATAATTTTAATTTACTTACCGCAGCAGTGCATCTCTGACATTGAAAATACCATTGTGGTCATGACAGCATTCAAAACAGAGGAAAGTCTTTTTATCGTTGGACCATTTAGCAAGTAGAGATCTTGACATCAGAACCCATTCCGCATGTATACAACAGTTCCAGAAACTACACAGGACATAATCGTTTACAATCCTGCTTGCATTTTTTGCAAGGATATTTTTTATATTGAAATTTGCGTGCACAACCCATGGTAAACCATAAAGTGTGTGACAAGATTTTGGGAAAAATGCAGATTTCATTCACACTGTCCATGGGACTTATTGTTTTATGAAATTTCAGGTACTCGTGAAAATGCGTGTTCAAACATATGATAATGGTGTTATTTTTACAAATTGGTCACGAGTGGCAATTCTTTTCACCTGGGCAATTAAACAAACACTTGTGGCGATTGTGAAACAAAGGGTTTTTAACAAGCTTTTCAACTATCTTGATAGCTTGTGATCTAATGAAAACAAAGGAAATGTTTGGAGAAATATCGCAGTAATTCTTTAATCAAACCCGCCCATTTGTTGAACAAAAATTCTTATTGGAAGGAGAGCTTTCCATGGGACCGCTCATTTACTTGCACAAATTTTAAACAATTTAAGTGCCAGTAAAACCATACCTTCAAGAAAAAAAAAAATGACGAAAGTTGCATTGTTCGGAAGTAGTTGCATTGCACGTCTTGGTGCATTTGGTAAGTATGACATGAAGATTCCTGGAGATGTAAGATTTTTTGCAGAAGGTGGGATGAGGGCTGATAGAATATTCACTACTCCGAGGTTTAAAAGATGACTGGAAGAACTGCTGCTCTTCAAGCCTGACACAGTTTATGTGTGTGTTGGTGGAAATGACATAGAAACAACTACTTCTCCAGCCGGTGTGTTTTCATCAACCCTTGCTCTGATAGACCTACTTCACTCAAGCGGCATAAAACAAATTTTGATGCAAGAGATTTCCAGACGGGGCAAATTCAGCAATGGCCTGACATTTGAAAACTTTGACAAACAAAGACGTGCCATCAACAAGAAACTTAAGACACAAAATAAAAGACAAGTTAAAGATGGACCAGTCATCTTACCCAAGAGCTTATTCTGAAGATTTAGTTCACTACAACAAGAAGGGGCTGCAGAAGTATTTCCATAGCGCCAGAAGACACCTATTATCAGCTCTGATAAATTGATATTTCAATATCATTTATTGCAAACAGCTCTTTTCAGAGCTACAAAAAAAATCATGAAAAGAACCATTTTTGTTCTTGAAATACACAATTCCCACTTAAATATTATTAACACATTACTTTCTCGATATCATAAGTTTCAATTAATTCCCAAAAATAAAGTAGGCCTGTGAATCCATGTCTAAAACAGATCTGTAGTCAATGAATAGTACTTATTTCAAAATAGATATAAAGTTTGAGTACATAAGTAAAATACAATACATTTTTTTTACCATTTTATTGCATTGCACACTTTCAACAAACTGTACATTATCCGATAAACAACTTGTATAAAAATCGGTAAGACACTTCTAAAGTGCAGTATGATACAGGTTCTGTTACAACAGTTCTGTAAGAGTTACGTCTCTTATATCCTCGTCTTGTTTCCGTTAAGCATTTCGTAATCAAAGTCAGTGTAAATCATACCATACTCAAATATATCTTATTTTTTTTTACCTAGAGAAGTATATTTGATTGACATTTAATAGATATGTTAGTAATCAGCATGATAAAACCCCTACAAATGGCTTGTTTCGGTCTTGTTTCGGTATTTGTGTCTGTTTCGGTAAATCTCTGTAACGCCATTCAGCATTGCAAGTTACACAACTATAATGTTCATTCATTGAAAATTGCTCGTTTGACATCTGATAGTTATTTAGAATCACATATTTCCTTCATAGTTCTATCTAATTCGTGATACAATTCACAAAGATAACATGATTCTCCACTTATTATTTTCTTCCTCGAGTAGTAATTACAATTTCAAATCTTAATGATAAGATCGAATAACATTTAATAAAACCAGAGATATATATCACACGATATATACATCTCTGACAAAACTTACCAAGTGCACATGCCATGGCAGTCCCGACCATGCCGCCACCCGATATCACAATATCAACTGTTTCTTCATTTTGAGACGCTGCAGTTTGTAGTTTTTTTGACGTGGTTGGAAGCATACGCATTGATCTAATAGTAGCGAAACACAACGTGCATCGTTTTAATGACATGGTGCAAGACATTTTGTTAAAAGCGTTAGAATGATCTCCCTTGATTGCATGTCACGCATAAAATGATTAAGTAATAACCATAAGAAAATAACTTTGGAAAATGAAATATGAATAATCGTGTTTAAAATTCTAAGATACACAGTCTCCATTTATGGGTATTTTATACTGTCTCGTTTTGATTAAAAAAAAAATAGAAATAATTTACTCCGTATCATCCGACATAGTTTCGAATCAACAAATGGCCGACGATGGCAACAGCACATCACAGTTTGGCTGTTTTGACGAATGCCTGTGTCAAACCTCCAGTTGATCCTAAAACAGGATTGTCAGCATCTTTTAATGAAAGAACACTTGCGTCACTCATCCACTATGGGGATGAATATGCAGAAGAAAAGGATGAGATGTTCGATGATGAGGGACAGACCCGCGGAGATTATTTGCCCGGTCTTGCCCTGTCGGATCCCGCCAGCAAGGATATTCCAAGGGAATTAAACAATTTGCCAGATGACAAATTTTATGAAAAGTTGATACAACTAAAAAGTGAGCATAAGAAAACTCTGGCAATATGTGAAAAGTTATACAATCGTAAAATTAACTCTGACCAGGGCGACAATGTGAACGGCTTTGTTTCCTATGCAGATTTTGGCAAAGTGCCAGTTCATTTAGCAAAAAACGAAGAAACATATATTTCAGAAGTAAATGGTGTCCAACCACCAGAAATGTTTTCACGAAATTCTCTTAATGAATCTGCAAGTAAGCCGCCTACGGGTCGACCAGCCCAGTCGCCAGGAATTAGGACTGTGCCCTCCCCTGGAATAAGGACATTGCCAGTTAAAAGAACTACTGTGCCAAAAGAAAGACCAAGCTCAGCACCAACAAGAAGTGGGTCACTAAATCTTGCACGTAGTTTAGAAGAGGAAGTCTGGTTGAAAATTGCAGCAGAAAGAAAGGCAGCCAGAGAGGCAAAAGAAGATGAGCCAGTGGAGAGATATGAAACAACCCAGTCTGAAACATATGAAACTCCAGAATTAACAACTGCCTTGGCGGACATTGATGACATGTGGGATAATTTTTCCATAGAAGAATACGCACCAAGAGCTAAAAGACCATCTTCAGCTACAGTCACTCGCAAAGAAAAAGAAAAAGAATGGAGACATAGAATCACTATACCAAAGCCTTTTAAAATGACTATTCGTGAAATGAACAAAGAAAAGAAAATATCACAGATACAGAAGGAACAAGAAGAAAAGTTACAGCAGAAATACAAGGAAGAAGAAATGGAATGTCAAAAGAAATTCAAAGCATCACCAGTGCCAGCCCACATATATTTACCAATGTATGATGAAATTGCAGAAAAGAATGAAACTCGAAGAAGATACATACAAGAATACAGCAAGGAATTACTCAAATCACAAGAAAGGCCATTCAATTTTATGAAAAGAGAGGAAGACAAAAAGAAGCACAGACGAGTGAAATCAGCACCAATATCTGATGATAATGTGAGGAAGTCTACATCATTTAAAGCTAAACCTGTGCCTACCTCAGTCATTGATAACAGTGTTAATGATAAGATCATGGAAGAGGAAGAGTACAGAAAAATAAGAATAAAAATGCGTTCAGAGGAACTTTTAAAAGCTGCAACATTACCTCCTAATATGGAAGCAAGAAAACAATATGAGCAAATTAAAAAGCGTGACAAACAAGTTAAAAACAAAAGAAAAGCTCAGTTCCAGCCAAAAGTAAATCATGAAGTACCAGATTATGATGAACTTTATAGACATTTCCAAAAAGAACTGGCACGACGCAAGCGTGAAAGAGAGTCAACTGTGGTTAAACCTTTTCAACTCAACACAATGCATCTTAAATCAACACAGGACAGGATTATTAAAGACATAGAGAGAGATGAAGAAAATATGAAGGAGAATAGATGGCCATACAAGAACCCTCGAGTCACACCAAGAAGTTTAGGTTGGTATTTTTATCTGACATCAATCAATGTTGTATCAGTTTATTTTGATATCATGACTTGTCAATCTAAAATATGAGAAGAACTAAAAACTGGAATTACGTATATTTGTAAATATTGTATGTGTACATGTTTTAATTGGCATTACTGGATACTTCCACTTAATTTTTCTTCAAATTTTAGGTACCCTATCTACTTCACTTGACTCCATTCCAGCAAAAAATACTGTGTCAGCCGACCTTAGGAACAATCACACAAGGTATTGAAATTCACATTTATAATCAATTTGCTGACCTAGAAAATCATAACACAGGGTGTTGCAATATATTTTCTCACCAGTGGCAAAACTAGATGTACTACCAAACTCTTATGTATCTGTATTATTTTTCTGCTGTTTTTCCTCTCTTTTTATTTCTACATGGTAAGCAGATGAAAGTTAAGATATTTGAAATTATTCTGAATATTCCTCGCACAGTAGAATCTACTTTTCTTATTAGCTCTTAAAAAGTAGTTGGATCAGGTGGGGGGAGCAGGTCAGGTAGTCTTTACATTATTTGTTTGTAAATTGTTCATGTTCTTATGTTCATATTCATGCAAGATTTCTAGATTAGTAACAGTGTAAATCAAATCTATTTCTTAGAAATGTATTGTAGTTAAGGAATCGCACAAGAGATACACCTTGTGCTGTGAATGAAAAACAACGTGGCAAGAAACTTTTTTATTTGAAGCATGGACATTCGAGGAAAAATTAATATGAGTAACTAAACTCCACCATATCAAAACCTAAAAGAAAAGTTTAAACTTTGTTGTCAGAGAATATTTGCAATTGCACCGGAGAGAAATGCACAAAACGTTTCCAGGGAAGCATGCCCTGGATTCCCTCATGAGGTTAGGACGCTATTCAATCCTCGGCCTCACCTGTAGTGAGTGGTTTGCATAGTAAAGATAAAGATACAACAATGTATCCAAATCCAATACTATGCCCCTGACTTAGAGTAAGTCTGCAGGAAGGTTTTAAACATTCTGTCTACTGCTGCATGCTAGGGTTTATACAAATAAACTGACTGTATACTGTTGTTACACTGTATACAAACGGATGATTAATTAAGAGACAATAAATAGTTCACAATAACACGTACATGTAGGTATCCACGGAGTAAATGTTTGTATATTAATTTGTGATTGGATCAGTCATATGTATGCTACTTGTCCTGATGAGTATAGCAAATGAACACCCGCTGTAATAGTGAATGTAGGAACCAGCTTCTATAAAAGTCAATGTTTAAGAATTGTGGGTTGTTAATTCTTCAGAAAGAAGCTTCACAACATGACAAATAAAGAACGCGAGCAGCTTGAGGCAGATAGAAAGAGAAGGATACGCGAAATGAGACTGAGGACACAGATCATGTCCAAGACAAGGGATGGGGAAAATGGTCGCACTCTAGAGGACACTTATAGACAAAAAGTTCGCACATTCAAGTAAGTACCCAGCAAAGTGATCTGTAATGTTATAAAGAAATATCAAATGGCCAGCTCGGTGCACATGAATTGGTAATTATGCTTTTAAGGTCTGTTACCATTTTTTGTCAAATTATAGCTACATATTAACATTCCCAATATATTTTTTCAGAAATGATGACCGTGCAAGAAAAGAGGAATACCAGAAGAGTTTGGAGGAAATGCAGGCGCGAGTGAACAAAAGACCTTTGTTGTTTCAACAAGAGAGTCAGGTGAGGGCACAATTTCCTGATACCGGTATATTTGTGACTGAGTTCTTTATATTGATACTTTGTAAACTAGAAAAATTGTATCTTTTAGCCTATTTAACATTTTGCTAACTATTTAGATTTTAAGCTGTAGATATACGGATATAGGATCCTGATTTGTCATTCTTCAATCTATTTCTTGTTATCATCATTAAGAGTTTGTGATGAAGCCATCCCAATATCCATTTATGGCATAGAAATAAAAAAAGACCCCATATTTCGTGGGATATGGCATTCAGGATATACAGGAGGGTCCAATTTAATTTGAAGAGCGCCCCATTTTAAACATACCTAATGCAAACCTTGTTTTTTTGCATGATATTTTTGATATTCAGACAGGCAATGTTGACATCAACATTTATAACTATGGCCCTCAGATCATAGAGATATTTTGCTTGAGGTCAGTAAGATCTCTGATGAGATTGATTTTAGTCAAAATTAATCCATCATTTGCTAGTTATGGGACCTTAAAAAGATAATTTGTTTTGTTTGTTTACAGCAAGTAACTTTAATTACCTTCGTTTGATTTGAACAAAATTTTGTATATTGCTTTATATCAATAAGATGTCGGATGATTTCGATCTTGATGAATGTATATCAACATTTGCCAGTGTTATGAGACTTTAAAATCCTTACAGAAGATAATTTTTTTGTGTCCATCAAATAACTTAATTTAGTTTTATTGTCAGACTTCAAGCAAATTTGTAATGAGTGTAATAATGAAAATAATACCAAGAGATGAGATAAAAACAGACAGTCTCCACTCCATTAGGCTGACTGCTTTAATTAAATTTTGCTTTCCTTAATTTGTCAAGTATGTCTCATAGTTAATTCTATCATACATAAGTCAAATTTCAATTTGCTTTGGATAACAGTTTTTGCTAGGAATTCCAGTTCGATACGACATTAAACCAGGTGTTTATTAGGAATTTGAAATGTTATGAGTTGAATTTATTTAATGATATATATATAAACAGTTATTACATTTTCACTGATCATATATGAGATTTTCCATTTGACTACCAGGTTTTTATTGTGTATCAATGTGACAAATAGCATTTTTACAATGTCATCAACAATTTTTATGACATTTCTTATCAAAATGGAAAATCCAAAACTTGCATACACCCAAATTATTTTTGTCTTGCTCCTATGAGTTACTATAACATTGTGAATCCAAGCAAGAAATAATAAGTAATTACAGAGGTAGAATTTTGATATGTATACTATGGTCACGGGTTTTTTTTTCAGGTGAATGCAAGAGCATCAGCAGAGAAGAAGTTTGCTTCAACTCTAAGGAATTACGGAATTGATGAGGACTTTGTTCAGAGTCGCAGTTCTCGAGCCGCCAGTGTTGTAAACGATGATGGTAATGAAAATTATGAAGATGACTTTGATGCAACATATGCAAAGTCTGTTGATGATGAAAAGTATGATGATTATGATGATGATGAGGTAGATGAAGCATGAGTTTTCCAAAATGTCAGTTTATATTAAAAGCTTTAAGAAAATAAAAATAACTACAACACAGAAACAAGTGACTGTCATCCAAAAATTGACACAAGGGTGTTATAATCATGAAGAAAGAAGTCTGATTACTAGACATTAGAAGTGCACAACAGTAGTAAGGTCTTATTGTTGATGGTCTTCAGTAAAAGTAGTTCATGCAGATCTCGCAAACAAGATTCAGAGGCATTTTGTTGAGTCTAAACTTTAAGAAGATATTTTATCATAGCAAGTTGTAAAAATGTACAAGTAGTCCTATAGCCACACATAATGATTAAATTAGTACTTGTACTGGCTTGTCACATAGTACAATATACAGTCTCTTATATTACATTCCTGCTTTTGATTTAAAGTATGTACACGTCTTTTGTATTACGTTAATATGTAATGAGACCTATATTTGCAACTATGACACAAGATGACCAGTTAAATTTGATAGATTCTCAATCAAACAAACGACCTGACATTACAGTTTTCAGTCAGTTGTTAACACTGAGTACCGATCCGGTCTTATAGTATAGCTCTATAACACAACATGGCAGTAGGTCGAACAAAGTTACCACCAGTAGTGAGAGTACCTTCTAAGTTATGTCTAAAATAAGTTGTTTTATCACATAGAAAGCTGTAATGTCTGATGAGGTATTTCGGGTTAGACACGAGATGAAACACTGCAACATGACAGGTAATCTTTCACTTTACCTGAGTGTCATCAATGTTTCCTTGTTTTATCAGCAGTTTACATGTTTTCATAAGTTTGCATATTTTTTTCCTTTTTTGGTTGGTTAATGTTCAGTGAATTTTGTATATATCTAGCTTGTACTAGTCATATAACTACCCTTGTAGTATTTTTTGTAGATAAATCTACTTTTTTTCAGAACTCTGTCAGGGTAATTCTATGCTGTATGTTGACCTTCTCATCCTGTATTTCTATAATGGTTTTGTCATAGTGTTAAGGCAACATAATGAGAAAGACGTGTATTGTCAAAAAGTACAACGAAAGGTTTCAGATTAGTGACAGAAGATTGACTAATGCTTGTATGTAGACATTTAAGTGATACTTCTAAAGTCAGCTTTGCCTTTTGGAATGTGGAGACCATGAAAACTGCATTCTTACATCTATAGTGTGTTATTCCTAATGACATAATGTACTGATATATAAAGTGGAGCAAATGAGTCTTCAATAGTACACTGTTTTTGCAGAAGTGATGTTCATTATTTGCAAAGTTGGCTGTTGGGTTCAGAACAAGGCCATGAATGCGTTCTGTTGCGTATACACAGAACTTGTTTTCAATGCAATCCTAGATTATTTAGCAAAAATCTTTCAATACTTATTTCAGTCAATCCTTCAATCAAATTGATCGGTGTAATAAATCAGGTACTTTTAGCAATCCACTGTAATATGTAAGTATACAGCAAGTTTTTCCCACTTTTACTGCTAATATGGTCATAGATCTCTTAAAGATATATGTACCACAAGTAACATTATCAAGTTCTTTTGTCTGACACTAAAAGGTATTTCTAATTGTAAGACAACATGCTTTACTAACTCTTAAAAATCTGTCCATATGACTGTTTGTAATATCCGTCCATATAATGATTACCAGTGGTACTGTATCCTTAGATGTAACAAGTTATTATCTATTTGTTGGAAACAAAAAAAATCCTTCCTTTTTTGCCTTTTCATTTTTTTATTCAGATTACAATCATTGTTAATCATACGTGAAGAAAGTGTGTATAATACACATAATTGTAAGATGGGAACAACATACTTTAACCCAGGTCACCCTGCTGATAGTAGTATGTATGCTTGCATTCAAAGATATGGTAGTTAATATTTATATTAGATCATCAGATCCTTTAACTTGTATATGTATACTGAGACTACATGGTATCTCACGTGTTCAAGCATAAACATATCCCCCAGATTGATTCGTCTTCGATACTCAAGAGGTTTCAATCACATTTACTCTCTGCACTCCTGGCGCATTTCCTGAAGGCTCAAGCAAAGTAATTTGATTGGTCTAAAGTGGGTTTCAGGAGAAATACTGATCAATCACAGACTGATACAATTTTTTGAAGCCAGTGCAACATACTATTATGTAACCTCAAGTTTCGTTTGATGTACATCAAAGGATCAAACTATTTTTCTTGTCTTATTCACAAGGTGTCACACATGAAACTTTCAATTTTGTCAAGAAATTTTCCACAGGGGTGAAGAGAGCAATAGTGAGCATAAACCAGGAGTATTAAGCATATAGTTGATGGTTCAATTGCACAACCTTTCTTTCTCTTTGACAAAGCAGCTTATTATTTTGACGGTGTTGATTTACACTGGTGAAACCTGATTTTGTTTTTGAGAACCAACTGAAATGTCCTGTTAATCATTTCTTATCATGATGCAGGACGGAGAAAATATTTCCTTTCTTCATTATATAGATTCGTGTTCCTCAGCTCATTAATGTGTGATTGCAAAATGAAGAAATTTTATTTTTGAATTTATTTTCCTATGTGAAAACATACAGAACAATAATTGCATGTACTTTCACTTCTCAGTAAATAAATTGATATCATAGATAGATCAGTGTATTATTAATTTATAATTAAAGTTGTGCACATTATTTGTGTTAAGTATCATTACTTTATTACTCCTACAACAAGCTGTTACAGTGTTGATGTATCTAAATTATCCATGACTAAATTGTAAGTCCAACTCACCATTTGTTAAAGGTTTCTTGACAAAAAAATCATTTGAAAGGGAGTTAGAGTAGACTAAGGAAATCAAGCTGTATAGTTGTGCGTCAAAAGTGTTTTCAACATAAACCGTGTCTGTCATCCCTCTACTGTACAGTCTTGTATGTAAACAGTTTCTATGTATGTATTCCTAACTTAAGACTTCGGTTGATATTTAAACCTTTTTGTACTGGAAGTAGCACAATACAATAAACTGATACTTTGTAGATCAATACCATTATCTGTTGTTTGTTCAAAGATTTGAAATCAGAAAAGGTCATGTATTGAGCTTGACTTTCATAAGTAAAATCATACTGTAAATCACTTCATCTGTGGTACAGATCATAGTTAATGTTTACTGTGATGACTTGCTACAGAGTTAAAATCTTACAATAAATAATCAATTGCAAGGGTCAAATATGACTTTTTCAGAATGACCAAGAGACCATAGAAAGTTTAGCCACAAACATTAGTGGTTCAAATATTAAAAATGGCACATGCTTACTCTCAAAGCCACAGGTCCAATGATGTGAACATTTTGAAAAAGTTCTAGACTAAATAACTGATTGTTTCAAGCAAATATTAGCTCAATCCCAGCGGTGGAACTTCAGAAGAAGTTTAATATTAAAAAAAAAATAATTACAGCATACTGCAGGTAAAACACAATGTCAATAGGAGAATTGATCACCAAACCACACACTTTGTATCTTTACCTGATAGTGCATGTAATTCTAATGCTCTATATGCCAACTGAACTATCACAACTCCCTTAATTTTCTAGAATATATTGACATATTTCCTCAGCTTATTCAGGCACAGGATACTATAAAATTCAGAAAAAATCACCAACAGTATGTCTGAGAGTAGCTCCATGACTGTTAAAAAAAATTTCTAGAAAAAAGCGAAAGAAACTGAAAACATAAGTAAATGTTCATAGTCTGCTTTTTAATTTCAAAAGTCAACAATCAGAGGTTCATATCTGGTAGCAAAACAACAGATAAATATGAAGTGATGTATTTCATACTAAATTTCATATACCGGTAAACAGAATACTGCAAGTACTGCCTATATTCTAAATGAACAATGAAATTCACATTTCAAGGAATTAATACCAGCCCCGATTATGAAAAAAAAATTTGATATCAAAATGTTTATGTACTTCAAACTAGAGAAAAATAACATCACTCTCAAGACCAAAGTATATTGCCAGCTATAAACAGTTCAAATCATGCATATTGTTTACTCTTTTCACAACAGATAGTATATGACACACAGCCTTGAAAATGTATATAAACATGTCTTCTTTTTTCCTTCAGTTTCACAGAAATGAAATGGAATCATGAAAAGAGTTTTTTACAGTTTTCTAATTCCCATCATCTCCTTGTTGACTAGTTCTCGCTTCCAATTTCATAATTTCATGACAAACTGTTTCCTTGTCTTCTACAAAGTCTGCCTCATTTTCTAATTAAGTAACATGTTGATCTACTGCTGTACTACTGATTGACGATGGAGTCACTTGAGTTGATATTTCCATTTTACCACTAGAAGTTGTTTCCGTGATGTTGTGGGATATTCCCTCATTCACAAGATCTGAGTGTAAAAATTCGCTGTCATACACAATTTCCTCACGGCCATGTGGATCATGAAAGTCGGTTGTCATGGACACCATCATTTGAGGCTGTGCTACAACTACTACATTAGCAGACCCATGTGCCATCATGTTCTCATCTGTCATGGTCCCTACATTGGCTGCAGCATCACCAGACTGGAACACATCTGAAACAATAACAGATTCCTAAGTTCACCAGACTGGAACACATCTGAAACAATAACAGATTCCAAAGTTCACCAGACTGGAACACATCTGAAACAATAACAGATTCCAAAGTTCACCAGACTGGAACACATCTGAAACAATAACAGATTCCGAAGTTCACCAGACTGGAACACACCTGAAATAATAACAGATTCCAAAGTTCACCAGACTGGAACACATCTGAAACAATAACAGATTCCGAAGTTCACCAGACTGGAACACACCTGAAATAATAACAGATTCCAAAGTTCACCAGACTGGAACACATCTGAAACAATAACAGATTCCGAAGTTTACCAGACTGGAACACATCTGAAACAATAACAGATTCCGAAGTTCACGAAACTGGAACACATCTGAAACAATAACAGATTCCAAAGTTCACCAGACTGGAACACATCTGAAACAATAACAGATTCCAAAGTTCACCAGACTGGAACACATCTGAAACAATAACAGATTCCTAAGTTCACCAGACTGGAACACACCTGAAATAATAACAGATTCCAAAGTTCACCAGACTGGAACACATCTGAAACAATAACAGATTCCGAAGTTCACCAGACTGGAACACATCTGAAACAATAACAGATTCCGAAGTTCACCAGACTGGAACACATCTGAAATAATAACAGATTCCTAAGTTCACTAGATTGGAACACATCTGAAACAATAACAGATTCCTAAGTTCACCAGACTGGAACACATCTGAAACAATAACAGATTCCAAAGTTCACCAGACTGGAACACATCTGAAACAATAACAGATTCCAAAGTTCACCAGACTGGAACACATCTGAAACAATAACAGATTCCTAAGTTCACCAGACGGGAACACACCTGAAATAATTACAGATTCCAAAGTTCACCAGACTGGAACACATCTGAAACAATAACAGATTCCGAAGTTCACCAGACTGGAACACACCTGAAATAATAACAGATTCCAAAGTTCACCAGACTGGAACACATCTGAAACAATAACAGATTCCAAAGTTCACCAGACTGGAACACATCTGAAACAATAACAGATTCCGAAGTTCACTAGATTGGAACACATCTGAAACAATAACAGATTACTAAGTTCACCAGACTGGAACACATCTGAAACAATAACAGATTCCAAAGTTCACCAGACTGGAACACACCTGAAACAATAACAGATTCCGAAGTTCACCAGACTGGAACACATCTGAAACAATAACAGATTCCGAAGTTCACCAGACTGGAATACATCTGAAACAATAACAGATTCCGAAGTCATAATCACAGGAAGTGATGTTTTTGACAAACTTGTAGATATCTCTTTTTCTAGACAACAATAAAATATGGTAAAAACTATATGCAAAATTAAGTTAAGGATCATAGACCTGAAACAATAAAGGTTTTTATACTTAGAAAAATGTGATAATATTTTAGATAAGGAAATCAGTCTATGATTACACATTCAGATTTCATGTATGAGCAGATAACAAAGAATAACAATACCAAGAATGCAGAATCTGAATCACGGAGACAATAAGAAGACCAGAAATAGATATTAGAGACTCAATAGGGAGTATGACCTCTTTTGACCCTCATTACTGTCCTGTAACGTCTGCATGCTCCTTATTAGTTGTGGTGACTGCCCTGTGGACTATATTACCATTTCTCTTGTAATACTGTCATAAGCTCTTAGTGGTGTTGTGAAGGTTTGGCAAGAACTAAAACCAAGCCCTGCAAAGACCTATCCAACAGCTCCCGTAAATAAGATAAATTAGATACTAGCTGCAAAATACCACTAGGCTAGGGAGAATTTCCCTTCAGCTTAGTTGTTTGAGCATCAGACTAGTAAGCCAGAGGTCTCAGGTTCAAATCCTAGTGTAGGCATTGAAATAAATAATGACCTCTGTGACATTGGCACCCACGGAGAGACAGGAATAATACTTAGCATTGTTCCATAGACATCGCTGAAACCCCTGGAAACTCCAGGACAAGATCTTTCAAGGAGAGGAAGTATGTAACCCTGATAAATACTAGCCAAAATATACTGCTTGGCTAGACAGAATTGACTAGAGAGAGTGTCTCTTTAATTCGAATGGTTGAGCTTAAGAGTAGTAAGCCAGTGGCCCAGGCTTTGAATCCAAGAGGAGGCACTGTAATGCATAATGACCTCTGTTACATGTAGAATCTCATCCCTGTTACAGGAATTGCATAGAGGTTTGTGAGAAAGTCATTACTAATCCCCCAATTTCTAAACCATCACTGACCAATTATCAAAGTTGTCAAGGTGGGCAAAACAGCAGTCTGCATAATGCTCACCCTGTGACCTCCATACCCTCCTTCCATCACAGAAGTCAATACAAATTGAAATTATCAAGAACAAACCTGTGATGACATGACAAATTGAAGATGATCATCGTAGAGTAACATCGTCCAGATCTTGACCAGTGTTGGACATTATTAAATATATTTGTCTGTTGATAGTGACTCTATAGCTTACTAAACACACTCTGAGAAACATTAAGCTATACAACCATACTTCTTCGAATTGGACCATCTTGGAGTAAACCTATGTCTCCTACAGCTTTCATATCACTTTAATGTCTTCACAAGATTGGTTGTGTTAGACTTCATGAAAACAAGTTAAACAAGAGGCCCAGAGGGCCTGTATCGCTCACCTGGATCCTTACGACCAACATTACTATATCTGTGCATATGTTCCACATTTAACACATTTGACCCCTGTGACCTTAACTATGGGTCAAGGTCATTTCTTTTACTTTCTTGGACTTCATAAAAGGAAATACTGGCCAAATATAATGATTCTAGGTTTTTTGATATTACAGAAGAAATTGTTTAAACATTTTAACACATTTGACTCCTGTGACCTTGAAGATTGGTTTCTACGTCTTACGGTTTTTTGAAAGAAGCCGCTTAAATTTTTGAACACATGTGACCTCTGTGACGTTGAATATGGGTCTGGGTAATTTTTTCGCAAATTTTGTTGGGCTTCATCAAAGGAACCTTCAAGCCAAATATAATGATTCTAGGCCTTTCAGTATTTTGGAAGAAGCCGTTTAAAGGTTTTAATATATTTGACCTCTGTGACCTTGAATATTGGTCAAGGTCATTTCTTTTTTGCAAACTTTGTTGGGCTTCATCAAAGAAACCTTCCAGCCAAATGTAATCATTCTGGGCCTTCTGGTATTTTGGAAGAAGTCATTTAAAGGTGTTAACACATTTGACCTATGTGACCTTGAATATGGATCAAGGTCATTTCTTTTTGCAAACTTCATTGGGCTTTATCAAAGGAACCTTTCAGCCAAATATAATAATTCTAGGCCTTCTGGTATTTTGGAAGAAGTCATTTAAAGATTTTTACACATTTGACCTCTGTGACCTTGAATATGGGTCAAGGCCATTTCTTTTTGCAAACTTCGTTGGGCTTTAAAGGAACCTTCCAGCCAAATATAATGATTCTAGACCTTCTGGTATTTTGGAAGAAGTCATTTAAAGGTATTAACACATTTGATCTCTGTGACCTTGAATATGGGTCAAGGTCATTTCTTTTTGCAAACTTCGTTGGGCTTTAAAGGAACCTTCCAGCCAAATATAATGATTCTAGGCATTCCGGTATTTTGGAAGAAGTCATTTAAAGGTATTAACACATTTGATCTCTGTGACCTTGAATGTGGGTCAAGGTCATTTCTTTTTGCAAACTTTGTTGGGCTTCATCAGAGGAACTTTCCAGCCAAATATGATAACTCTACGCCTATTGGTATTTCAGAAGAAGTTGTTTATATGAAAAGTTGATTCATGCAAGACAGACGGACGACGGACAGGCGCCTAGACGGACGGACAGACGCCGCGCTACGGCCAAAGTCCAAAATGTAAAAATTTAGCTAAGAATTTACAAAATTCAAATCAAAATTTTACCAGCAGTCATCAACCGTCCATTTTTTATACATCACCTAAATTCACTAGAGCCATACAATTTCAAACCATCAAAGTTTACTAAAATGGTACAAAACAACCTCATGATGCATGTTCATACATCCTTGTCAACACTTAGGCTATATATTGAAAAAGATGGGTGACATATTTTCATCTGAGATTATGGTAACAATGTATGATCCTTAACATTGTCCAGTAACTATACAGGATTCAAAATTTACAGTTTGATAATGATTAATTAACCTTCCAAGGCAATACAAATTGATTTCATTGCATGTTTCTTTGTTATTTTGGTGATGTAATTCTAACAATTTACATGTGTACCAGGAGCATAAGGATGCAATAAGTTTTCTCCCTAGATTTTACAGCAGCCTGTGCCTTCATCAAGATAAGTGTTAGTATATACCGGTAGTAGGAACACAACACACACTTTGTGTAGAAGAAACAGTTTTTTCTGCTTTAAAACAAAGAAAAAATTCACTGGGCTGGACATGGAAAAGTAGAGGTGTATAAACACTGTATTTTTACCTTCACTAAGTAGCATTTCATTAGCTATCGGTGGAAACTTTTCATCATGGTCTGCTGTTTGTGTTGTCACAGTTACTATGTGGTCACTCACTCCTTGGGAAAACACAAGTTGCAGTTCTAAATGGATAAAATTAAATAAATTCATTCATTCTTTATCATGTTGCTGGTAAATGTTGGTCTTCCCACAGATCCATCCTGTGATATTGCAAAGCTTATTCCATTTACAATGCTTAAATATTTCAAGTATGTGCTATATTACTTGTATCACATTTTGTAAAATTTCAGTGACTTTTAGATCTGATAACTTGGAGATCAAAACTTATGAATTTATGATTATTGTGGAACTGTTGACTCTCAACCTGTACCTTGATACTGTAATAGATCATCCTGGCCATTGTGAACAACAATAACATTCTTGACTCTGTCCTCTTCCTCCTCTGCCAACAGGTGCTTCTTCATGTGTACTGTCAGACTGCCACTCTGGGTGAAACATCGACCACACTTTTCACACTTGAAAGGTTTCTCACCTGTAGCCACAATCAATTTATTAATATCAAATATATTTACATATCACCATTCACTAACAATTGATGACTCTTAAGGCTAATGGATTTCTGTATGGATGCTATGTATGAAACCTCTTGTTAGTCTAACTGCTGAGCCTAAGTAATGAAAATTTTGTGAACTTCTCACATTATGCCCTAGAAACTCTCACAGGTAACAAAAGGAAAGCATTATTGACCGTCGCTTGTAGTGCATTTTGTTTTCTTGATCAGACTTTAAATAGAACATGCACAACTAGCTATCAAGGAGACCTACACATCAAGTTTCAGAAAAATATGTCTCGTTTCTTCTCAAGAAATAATGATAAAAATTTAAAATGTCAAAATCCAAGATGGCCACCTGTTGGTCATTTTGTTTTCCTGTTAAGATTAGAAATTGGATAGGCACAATAAGAGAGATACAAGTACTTCTTAAGAAATAGTGATGACAAGGATTGGGTACAGATGAATGATGGACCACAGAAGTAGAGCAATTTGAATGGCCCACCATTATCAGATGGTGGGTTAAAGAAACTTGAAACTACTAGTATTGCATATGTGAAAGTACCTATGTAGTCTATTATTGATGATTTGGCAAAATACGTAGATCAGTGTTTATCCCTTTAGTCATTTGACTAAAAATTGAAAACAACCCCCTTAAATTTTTAGGCACTTCTATCAAACTATACAGAAAACATCATTTAATCTGGGAAATATCCAATTTAGAAAATATCCAGTGCAAACCCTGTGTTTCTTACCAGTGTGTGTCAACACGTGTTTACGTAGACTTGAATACTCTGCAAATCTCTTCTCACATTTTTCATGGGAACAAACATATGGCCGCTCACCTAAATTCAAGAAGGCATTAATAACAAATTTGTGAATAAATAGTAATCTTTGACTGCCCATCCTTAAAACTAAACAGGGATCTACCTTGTTATTTAACCGACATTCAACGTGCAACATAAGATTGTGAATCTCATTAAAATTTTACTGCTATACAATGTTCTTATCCTTTAGGCCTCTACTAATCAATTTTGAGATAATTAAGTGTCTATAGTACATTTAATCTGATTCTTGTCATCTAATTACACAACAAACTCCATTTTCATTGTAACTAAATACACTACTATATCAATTCAAATAGAATCTTCATTCAAAAAGTTCTTTGGGTATCAAAAATAATTTCCTTAATCATGAACATTGGAGACTATACATCAGTGATTTTTTTTCCACTTTTGAAGATATCTTCTTACACTACATACCAGAATGAATCCTCTTGTGATTCTTGAGATTGCCTGATGTTGAGAATTCTTTATCACATTCATCACAGGGGAATGGTTTCTCTCCAGTGTGGACCCTTGTATGAACCTTCAGTCTCTGAGCAGTGTAGAACTTTTTATCACACATATTGCAGGAAAAGTTTCTTGCAGACCTGGCAACCACAAACACTATGTATCACAAAAACATAAATAAAAGGAACAGGGACTTACTGGAAAAGCCCCACTCCTTGATCTTTAAATTTTCAACTTATTCTGTTGAGTTATCTTGTAGACAAGCTTTTGTTAAAATGTGACCTTTGACCATTTTAACTTTGACCAATAAATAGCAAAATTCAATTGGAGGAGGAATTTGTTGTTGCTGAGTGTAATTTTGATCTCAAGGTAGATATCTCTGATGTGCTGAGGTTATCCCTACCCTACACTACCTCAGGTGAATGAATATCTCTGTATTGTGGTGCTCCCTACCGAACACAACTTCAGGTGAATATCTCTGTATTGTGGTGCTCCCTACCCTACACAACTTCAGGTGAACATCTCTGGTGTGCTGTGGTGCTCCTTACCCTACACAACCTATGGTGAACATCTCTGTATTGTGGTGCTCTCTACCCTACACAACCTCAGGTGAATATCTCTGTATTGTGGTGCTCCCTACCCTACACAACTTCAGGTGAACATCTATGGTGTGCTGTGGTGCTCCCTACCAAACACAACTTCAGGTGAACATCTCTGTATTGTGGTGCTCCCTATCCTACACAACCTTAGGTGAACATCTCTGTATTGTGGTGCTCCCTACCCTACACAACTTCAGGTGAACATCTCTGGTGTGCTGTGGTGCTCCCTACTGAACACAACTTCAGGTGAACATCTCTGTATTGTGGTGCTCCCTACCTTACACAACCTCAGGTGAACATCTCTGGTGTGCTGTGGTGCTCCCTACCCTACACAACCTTAGGTGAACATCTCTGGTGTGCTGTGGTGCTCCCTACCAAACACAACTTCAGGTGAATATCTCTGGTGTGCTGTGGTGCTCCCTACCCTACACAACCTCAGGTGAGCACCTCTGTATTGTGGTGCTCCCTACCCTACACAACCTCAGGTAAACATCTCTGGTCTGCTGCGATGCTCCCTATCCTACACAACCTCAGGTGTACATCTCTGTATTGTGGTGCTCCCTACCCTATACAGCCTCAGGTGAACATCTCTCTATTGTGGTGCTCCCTACCCTACACAACTTCAAGTGAATATCTGTGGTGTGTGCTGTGATGCTCCCTAACCAGCACAACTTCAGGTGAATCTCTGGTGTGTGCTGCTGTGATAGTTCATATTTCTCAAGAAGCGGACAAACAGACCAGTTTGTGCTGTCATGGTTTTGTTCTTGGGCCAGACATATATTTGTAAAACAAGTAATTACAAATTTTTAACTAGTATCAAGTAATTAACTAGCCTTTTCATTGCATGGTATAATGAGTACTTACATGTGGGTGAGTTTATGGTATTTTAGGTGGGCTGGCCAGGTAAATGTACGACCACATCCTTCATGCGTACATGTCAGTGAATTATCTCGACTGTGGTTTGTCTGATGGTTCCTCAGATGACCAACAGATGAAAAGTTGCGACCACATTTTTCTAACTTACACACAAACATCTTTTCTTCTTTATCTTCTTTGTCTCCTGTAGTGATGTAAAGATATGATGGAATACAAGGAGATATTTCCCTTTAACTTTATGTGTAAGGTATAAATTTTCATCTTACATATCGGTATATGTAGAAATTCAGGAAATGTCACACAACTCTGACAAAATTAATATACTTACCGGGACATTTCCCCTCCTTTTCCTTTTGAGAGGTATGGATCAACACTTTGTTGTTGGGGGCATTGTTGTTCCCCTGAACAGATGTGTGTGTTGTTGATGGCTGCTGTGGCAGGTTTTCTATCTGTCCTACATTCACCTGGTTGTGACCTTCATTCTGCCCTATCAACTGTTTGGCAATGTCCTGCTGTGTTTGAGCTACAAGATTCGCCTGAGCTATAGCATAAATGCTTGAAAGGTTGTTTTGAATATGATACATGTCTGATATCAGTGGATGATGCAGCACCAAGTTTGTCTCCATTGAGGTGTTAGTATTCTGATCTTGATTTAAGAATAACATGACAGGTGTTGGTCTGTTAACATTATTACTATAATTAGACAGTGTTTCCTGCCCATCAGCCATCATTAAATCACTCAGTGTATTTCCAGTTCCTGGCGGAATGGCATCGATCTTTGGAGTGGATTCAAATTTGTCTTTATTGGAAAGATATATGTAAGTACTTGGTGGCATTACAGATGTGTCTGAACGCTGGACATGAACTACCCTGGGTCCCTGGGGCTGATAAACCATCCCTGGCTCAGACAAAATAGACACTGCTTGTGTTGTCTGTGTATTGCTCAGTGAATGATCAATGCTGGTGGAGGTGTCAGTCACCCTACTAGAAGTATAAATTTTCAGAGCTTCATTTCCTGTCAAGTCCATCTTTGGGCGATTTATATTGCAGCACAAAGGCATCACATATTAATTCCATCTCTTTAATGCAATCACCTGTAAAAAGTAAAAACTATGTATTTTTGAAATGTGTTAATGGAATATTGATGCTGATCTCTAAGCAAAGTAGAATGTTGCTTGATTTTCTATCCACATTTGTCACATTAACACTTTTCAAAATAACCAGTTCTCTCAGTGATCATTTGTGCTATCATGATATTGAAGCCTGTGATAACTTATTTCTTATTGTCATTCTACTTAAAACAAAAGGCTCATTAGGCCTGTATCTCTCCTGTTTCTTTCATCTTGCATTTCAAAAAACATTTTTCTCTAGAGATGAGGAATTTTAAACCTTCCAACTAAACATTTAAAAGATACTTTCATCCAAGCAGAAAAAGAATAAGTTACACTCTTCCCTGAATTTCCCATATCTAGCTCGGCCCCTCTGCAGACCCTTCATTTACATAAAATTGAGTCAGTCCCCTTCACCCCAGAATATTTAAAACAAGAGGCCCATGGGCATTAACGGTCATCTGACATAAAATACAAGATTTCAAATTTTGAACTGATTTCACCTGGATTTAAGAATCAAGGGCACTCTGCCACCACCTTGAAAGTGGGTTAAGGTTACTCATTTCAACAAACTTTGTAAACCTTCATCTCAGCATGCTACAGGCCAAATATCATCACCCTGGGTGTTCTGGTTATTCAGAGAATGTTTATTCCAGGTTTTATACAAAGTTGACCCTTGTGACCTTGAAAAGGGATCAAGGTCATTTGTTTCAATTAAGAGGATTCTCCTGAACAGAGTCTTTGGTTAGAAGGCTGACAAATCTTCTGGACATCGGATCATTGAGGCAAAGAATGTTTCTGGGGTTTAAATAAGCGCACCCATCTTCTTTTCCATACAAAAGTATGGGGTGCAGTTATAGCAGCATGTGTGGCAATTAGGTCGAATACCGTGTTGTTTATAGATTATATAAGCCTTGAACAGCTGTATATACCTAGAAGGTCTTAGGTGCCAGAACAACACAGATCAGACAACCTTCAAATATAAGAACGACTACTTACTTCTGTTTTTGAACTCTGTTAATTTGCACAAAGATTTTTTTAGCAGCCAATGACGGACGAAGCATCATGACATTAAGGTTATCATGACTCTTCAGGTCAGATGAACTAAAAATTTATGAAAGAGATGATGTGCGGTAAGATGACATAAAATAATGGCGGCCATGTTGGATTTTGGACTGACTGGAAATTGACAAACTTTGGTCAGTGCCATGTCACGATCATTTCATGCAAGTTTTGGCTCAATCACACTGGTGGAACTTGAGAGGAAGTTGAAAAAGTGTTTTCAAGATGGCGGCCATCTTGGATTTTGGACCAACCCGAAAGTAACAAACTTTGGTCAGAACCATGTCACGATCATTTCAGGTAAGTTTCAGCTCAATGAGACATGTGGAACTACAGAAGAAGTTGAAAATGTAAATTGTTTACGACGGTCGCCGGATGACGCCAGACAAATATGATCGCAATAGGTCATCAGGCCCTTCGGATCAGATGACCTTATAAAAATTGGTCAAAATACCTTCTATTATATTGAACATCTGTATGTCTTATTGGGCTATGCCCTCAGCTCTCAGGAGGGCGAGACCTACGTTTCACACAAAATTGAGTTCCCTTCAACAAAAGCTGCTTTGAACTAAGTTTTAACCAAATTCTCACAATCCTATCACAAAGAAATTATAAGAATCAGCTAAACTTCCTCTTCCACACCCTGTCCCTCAGGCCTTAGGGGCCAAGATTTAGACTACCTCCACAAAACTTATTTCCTTGTCAGATACATTATACATAGCAGTCCATACTTTTGGTCTTGTATGGCACTTGCTATTTTGTTAACCAAACAGGAAAAGATAAATAAAAAAGGCTCATAAGGCCATAAGGTTAAGTTTGCTGGAATTGAATCATTTAAACTGAGGGAAAGTAATCAAAACACTTGTATCTCTTTCCTCGTAGTAGGCTCACTTCTCCTCCCAAAGGAATTTAGATGCACTGTTCGTACAAAACGAAGTTCTATCACCAGGGATGTCTTTATTATTACTGTCAAAATTAAAGATGGTTGTTTGTCAGCCATGTTGTTTTCTGGGATCAGTGAAAATGCAACCATGCGCAACAAGAGACGAAGGGGGACCTACACAAGAAATTTGAAAAAGACCCATCCTGTACTTTTCCAGAAATAGCAATAACAAACTAATACTGTCAAAATCCAAGACAGCTGCCTGCTGACCAAGTTGATTAACAAATCAGTCCAAAAATAAGACAATGCACAACTAGGGACATATGAAATTTGAAAAAGATCAATCCATTTCTTCTCCAGAAATAGCGACAACAGTAATTTTTTAAGGACAGATGGATGCCAGACCACAGACCCAAGTCAATTTGAATGGTCCACAACCTGCCTGACGATGGTGGGCTTAAAGATAAAGAAAATCCCCACCTACCAACCCTAACTTTGTTTAGGTAGCTAACAGAATGTTTTGTCTTTTTGTAATCAAATCCCTTAGTGCTGAACCAGCTGTCATTATAAATCATTATGTAACCCTGGTAAAATAATAGAACTTCCCTTTAGCTCAATTAGTTGAGCATCAGACTAGCATGCCAAGGTCCCGGGTTTGATTCCTAGCAGAAACACTGAAATACATAACGCCCTCCATTACATTGGGGTCCATGTACGGACAAGTACAAGTACCTCTGTAACCTCTGGGCACTTGAGGACAAGTTATTTCCTAGAGGGAGAGTATGTAACTCTGGTAAAATACTAGCCACAAAATACGGCTTCGTTAGAGGGAACTTCTCATTAGCTCAATCAGTCGAGTTTCACACTAGTAAGCCAGGGGTGCATTTGATTCCTAGAAATCGAAATCAATCAATGCTCTCTGTTTCAACTATTTTCTAGTATTTGATTTCAAAAAACATTTTGAGTAATATACAGTGGGAATGAGCTCAAGTTTTTCAACTTGTGTCCCGCCCTTTCCCTTTAAAGCTGGACTAAATATGTATTGACAAAATGATAACAAAGAGAGACAAATATAATTGATGTAATTTCATGTAAATCAGTTTTTCTAGTAGTTGTTATTTATATACTACTTGAATAAGCCCTCTCTAGATCCGACACATCAACCATCAAATTCCATCTCTCTCCTGACATTTATTTGGCCTAACTTCGCTCTTCTTGTTCATATTTTTTAACATTCTAAGTTGTTTTTTCTTCCCACAGCACAGACTTGGACAGTTGACAGTGTCTTCATGTTGAAATAGAAGAACTACTCCATTGTTGCCACAGTTCCGGAGTCGGTTATGTGACAGGACTATCTTTTTTTATATGTCACGTCTACAAATACATTTACTTTTTGAATAATTGTGAGTACCCATGCATTTTCCTATCATAACGGTACACAATATTTAAACAGCAGCAAACACGTCACGTTGAAACTCCCGCAAAAATACCTACCGAATATTATGGGCTGGAGTATTATGGTCTTCAGTCATTTTGAATTTTGGGCGCATGGATTTTAACATTTTTTTATGGAATTAAGTAACTTCAATCTTTATTACAAAGGTTAAAATTTAAAGAATCAAGAAAAAATGTTTTCAAATGGATGTTAGGAAAAATAACAGGTCAGAGACATTTCATTTTTAATTGAACATTTACATTTGCGAACTATGTTTTGTCATTGCACGCCATGATGTTTTATGCAAATTTTAAGACCCATCCAATTCGCTCCAGAACACTGTCATTTGATTGGTTAATGGGTCAAAATTTTCCACGAAAGAAAAGGCAATTTCCAATAAATGTCATGTCAATATTGCTAGAGAATATACACACATGATTCGATATTTACAAAGCTGAGATACTGAGGGCCGAAAAACATGCGTTTTCAACTACGCAATGGGAAAATATCGATAAAACACCATTTTAACACCCAGCAAATAATGACCAATCAAAACGGAGATTACAACATCAAAACCACGCCTATCTTCCAGTCGGAAATAAATTTTGAAAGATTTTTTATCCTGAAAGGCATTTTTTGGGTTTTTTTTTATTTTTTTTTTAACTTCTTTTATTGTATATCAAATTAATACAACATTCATAAATACAACTACATGAATTCCATATATTGTTGTTTGCCGTCAAACCACGAAGATATCCGATGAAACCAACATGTTCCAGTTTGAACCGGTTACAGAAAGTCTAATGCCTTTCATTACAAGGAAGGTGGATGTTTGGTGTAGACATGAAACAGGTATTTTGTTAAATTTTACCATTTATTTCAATGAATCGAGAACTCTTATTGTCAATTTCGTTTATAGCCGTGGAACGCTTATTTTGCTTCACTGTTTCATTTATGGGCGCCGCCATTTTGACCCCACAACATAAGATATAGCGGAAGTTTACATGTGCACACTGTCATTGGATATTGACCGACTTTTAAACTTAGGCGGGTGATTGGAATTTTCCATTGAGTTATTTTTAGATACAAACTCATGAAAAAAAAAATCGATTTATTCTCTTATTTATCTCTATTTGAATGTGGGATGTTTGACAGTTTTATTTAATTGATAGCAGGTTTCTTCCTGTTCTTTATCGAGATTTTTAGACAGTTCCTCTCGTCTTTCTGTTTAGGGTTTGGACAACTCGTGAAGATTGTTAGTGATGAGAGTATAAGCCGTCACTTACCGAAGTACTTCACTGAAAACTGTATATACGGACGCGTATCATTAATGGTTAAATAATGAAAAAAATAATCTCTTATTAGTTAATTTATTTTACAAAATCGTGAATTCAAATCATTTGTTTGATTAATATGAAATTTAAGTGCGAACTTCACTGTTGAGAATGGTTAATACCGTTACCACGATAAATGCCCTGTCCAAATATTCTGGTTCTTACTAGATACTGACTGAAGATTTTTCTGTATACTTAGTTTTGGATTCCTTTCTGAATTATAAGTAGTCATAAGTTACATGATTAGGACACTCCTTGTTTAGTTTTAGGCAATAACTGGTGGAATATTTCATAGGTCAAATTATTTTATAACTCACCTGGGATCTAAATAAATGTATGATTCTGCTAAGTAATGGATTAGACTAGTTGGTAAACCCTTTTTTGTAAGAAATTTTGACCATATGTACCGATATAGAAAAGGAATATTGACTGTAATAGTTCCTTCTGGTAAATATTGGAAAAAAATGATAAATAAAGAGATATCTTTGTGATGGGTTTTATGCATAGAGATGATTATTGAGGCAAAAAAAAATCTGGAAAAATAAATAACCATTCAGAATAAGTTATTTTTTGGTCAAGATACGTGATAAACTTGGCCATTTGAAAAAGTTTGTTTCTACCATGTATGTCAATGTTAATGCCAATAATATGTTTAAAGGTTTTGATATCAAATCCACAAGCTACGGTCAGAACTTACTGATACTAGTAATCTGAACTGTTATAGTATCAATGAACATATTGAAATTAAATAACATTTGTTATGTCAGCCCTTCTTAAATATGTCCATATGTAATTTTTTTTGTAGGGTTCTTCTTCGAAATAATTCATGCCACCAATAAGTATGAGTATGGCTAACCTCCCAGAGGAAGCTGCTAAGCTTCTGGATTTTAACCAGAAGCTGGACATAAATCTCCTGGACAACATCGTTGCTATGATGTATACAGGAGATGGACAGCAGGTATGAATGAAATCGGGCATAATTTTAAAAAAGATAAAACAAGAATATATAAACTTAAGTATAAAAAACTGTGTTTTGCTTTTAAATCACTGCATAGCTATTTCATGGATCATGTAGACATTTGCCTTAAGTATTGTGTGTGTTATTTTTATTGATTTACAACCTATAATAACAAGAAAGGCATGACTATTTTTCCCCTGTTACAAAGAAAATTTGGCGACATTTTCCGAATTCATACAGGCATAGATAACTATAAAATTAAGGTTGAAAAAAAACCTTTTAAACTGTACAGATAAAAAATGTATTTCAATTATATTCTGATTTCTTAGCGTATGGCACAAGAGGTACTTACTACACTTAAAGAACATCCAGATGCATGGACGAGGGTAGATACCATATTGGAATACTCCAGCAATCAACAGACCAAGTATTATGCTCTCCAAATATTAGAAAATGTCATAAAAACTAGGTGGAAAGTCCTACCAAGACCACAGTGTGAAGGTTTGTACTCTTTGTTTTTGTCAGATAAAATGATAGAAAGAATTTGAAGTCTTGACAATTCATTATAAAAGCACACAAAAATTTTTGTTGTTTAGTGTGCTTTCAATGAGTTATTTACTATCCAACAAAACTGGTTAATATCCATATGAATGTCAATAATTGATAAGTTTTATGTGAAAATTATAATATTGGTGTAAGTTTCGATGTTTGAAACTTTCAGTGTTGCTTTTATGTATGAATTTGTGCTGTTGATAATGTATCCTTATGGCTTCATTTTTGTTGATGAAAGAGACTATAAAAACATGAAATCTGTTTTTCTTAGGTATAAAGAAATATATTGTTGGGTTGATAATCAAAACATCTTCTGATGCTACCATGTTAGAACAAGAAAAAGTCTACATAGGGAAACTTAACATGATCCTTGTTCAAGTAAGTATCAAATAAAACTGCCAAGTGTCGAGATAAGTGGCCTTCTATATAGTTGTAACTGTGTTGATTATAATCTCACAACAACACTGTTGCCATTGTGATTAAATCCACTTCAGTTCATGTTCCCAGACTGTATTTTAACCGCGAGGTACGGATTTGAAACAGATTTATTATTTTCCTCATAAAGACTACAGATAACCTCTGTTACCTCATAAAGGAATCAAGCCCTGTCCATGTTTAATTTATTGTTTTCGATATTGGACAATACCAGTTAGTACATTGTCATATTTGTGTTGGTGACTAATTTTATGCCTTTTAAGATATTTGATGAAAATGTTCTTCTCCTTTTGTTCCTACTTTGATAGTTTGAAGATAACCTCCCATTCTTACCTTTTAGAAAAATGTTAACAACATTATATTGATAATTGTCATGGTTCCTTTCCAGATTTTGAAATATGAATGGCCACGAAACTGGCCATCTTTCATATGTGATATAGTTGGTGCTAGCAAAACAAATGAGTCACTTTGTCAGAACAACATGATCATCTTAAAGCTTTTGAGGTTTGTATGATTCTCAATTTTTCAATTGAAAACAGTAAACATGTTTTAATGGCTATAAACAAAGTCCCTGCAGTGAGATTCTATAATTCAAAAATGTCGGAAAAGAAATCAACATGTTCATATCAAACTTGGCAATCAACTTGTGATGATTGAAGGAATGCTTGACATGTCTGTGACCAGCAATCCTACCAACAAACCTATTTACCATTGTGTAAAATTAGAAACTGTTATATTTTGTTGTAGTGAAGAAGTATTTGACTTCAGCAGTGGCCAGATGACACAAGCTAAAGCCAAACATCTAAAGGATAGTATGTGTTCAGAATTCTCACAGATCTTTCAACTTTGTCAGTTTGTTATGGTAAGTACCTGACTCCAGTGAAAGCTTACAGACTTTAAACAGGACTCCACTAAAAATAATAGAAACTAAATTATTGCTTTAAATAAAAAGACAAATGAATAAATCTCACTTGATGAATCTTACATAAGATTTTTAGCCCACCATCTATTCAAATAGATGGTGGGTTATTCAAATCGCCTTGCGTCCGTGGTCCTCTGTCCGTCCGTAAACAATTCTTGTTACCGCTATTTCTGGAAAAGAACTGGATGGATCTTTCTCAAATTTCATATGCAGGTTCCCCTTGGTCCCTAGTTGTGCATTGTACCTTTTTTGAACTGATTCACATTCGAAAGGGCCGACAGGTGGCCATCTTGGATTTTGGAAGTAAAAGTTTGTTACCGCTATTTCTTGAAAAGTACTGGATGGATCTTTCTCAAATTACATATGCAGTTTACCCTTGGTCCCTAGTTGTGCATTGTACCTTTTTTGAACTGATTCAAATTCAAGATGGCCGACAGGTGGCCATCTTGGATTTTGGAAGTAAAAGTTTGTTATCGCTATTTCTGAGAAAGTACTAAATGGATCTTCCTCAAATTTCATATGCAGTTTCCCCTTGGTCCCTAGTTATGCATTGTACCTTTTTTGGACAGATTCGAATTCAAGATGGCCGACAGGTGGCCATCTTGGATTTTGGAAGTAAAAGTTTGTTACTGCTATTTCTTGAAAAGTACTGGATGGATCTTTCTCAAATTACATATGCAGTTTCCCCTTGGTCCCTAGTTGTGCATTGTACCTTTTTTGAACTGATTCGAATTCAAGATGGCCGACAGGTGGCCATCTTGGATTTTGGAAGTAAAAGTTTGTTATCGCTATTTCTGAGAAAGTACTAAATGGATCTTCCTCAAATTTCATATGCAGTTTCCCCTTGGTCCCTAGTTATGCATTGTACCTTTTTTGGACTGATTCGAATTCAAGATGGCAGACAGGTGGCCATCTTGGATTTTGAATGTAAAAGTTTGTTACTGCTATTTCTTGGAAAGTACTGGATGGATCTTTCTCAAATTCCATATGCAGTTTCCCCTTGGTTCCAAGTTGTGCATTATACCTTTTTGGACTGATCCGAAATCAAGATGGCTGACAGGCAGCCATCTTGGATTTTGAGAGTAAAATCTTGTTACTGCTATATCTGAAGAAGTCCAGGATGGATCCTTCTGATATTTCATAGATATTGGTTTCCCTTGGTCCCTAGTTGTGCATTGTACCTTTTTTGGACTGATTCGAATTCAAGATGGCAGACAGGCAACCATGTTGGATTTTGGTAGTAAAAGTTTGTTACTGCTATTTCTTGGAAAGTACTGGATGGATCTTTCTCAAATTTCATATGCAGGTTCCCTTTGGTTCCAAGTTGTGCATTATACCTTTTTGGACTGATCCAAAATCAAGATGGCTGACAGGCAGCCATCTTGGATTTTGAGAGTAAAATCTTGTTACTGCTATATCTGAGGAAGTCCAGGATGGATCCTTCTGATATTTCATAGATATTGGTTTCCCTTGGTCCCTAGTTGTGCATTGTACCTTTTTTGGACTGATTTGAAATTAAGGTGGCCCACAGGCAGCCATCTTGGATGTCGACAGTAATACAGCACAAGCATATTGTCCATTATCCACCTGTAACTGACTGCTATCTAATAATACTTTGGGATCTTTTTCAAATGATATTTGCTAATAGGTGCTTAATAAAAATATCTTATGCCATCATTGAGTACATTCAATGAAGACCAGTTCATGAACATTTACAACACCTGTAACAAACAAAAAAAAATCTTCAAGAACTGAAAACAGATCCTCAAATGGTGGGCGCCAAGATCCCTCTGGGATCTCGTTTCAATTTTGTAATTGAAGACACAAACATGTTTTTATTATTAGTATTATAGTCTTTTTAATTTTTGGCGAGGTTGCACATTGTGCAAATCCAGGTTATAGTATGGTGAATGTTGGGCGGAAGTGGAAAAGGGGTATCAGTTTTGTAGAATCAACTCTTCCTAGAGTTTTTGACGTAGAAGCTTTAACCTTTGTAGGATGTTAATTTATATGTTGAAGATGTACACCTCGTATTATGGATTAATTCCAGACATTTTTCTGCATTTTCTGGGCTTTGGAACTTGGTCATTATCCGCATTTAAATCGTCTTTAGGACTTAGATGTCCATTGTCTTTTTCTGAACATCTACGAATCAAAAATGGCTGCAACTTCTTTCTTCAAATGCCCTTCTTCTGCACCATTTCATAAAATACAACCAAACTTTCTCTCTTATAACAAATATTCTACATACTCAACAAATGAAACACCCTTAATTGTCTTATAAATACCATATAACATTGCACTCGTCCCGCAACCTAGCCAATTGTTGCTTTGCCCCATTTTTTAGACATTAGATATGATTTTGATGATTTTACTTTCAGGATAATTCTCAAAATGCACCTCTTGTTGGATCAACATTGGAAACATTATTACGATTTCTCAACTGGATCCCTCTTGGCTATATTTTTGAAACAAAATTGATCAGTACATTGATTTACAAGGTATGTCATTTTAGATTTTGTTTTTGTGTTGAAAAGTGTTGATAGTAGATAGAATGTTTAGCAAGTATGATACAATCCATTGGAGAGCAAGGTTTTCAACATCTTAAAATTGCTATAAAATGTTTGAAAAATAATGGAAAAATAGTGTATCATGGGAATGGGTAGGATTTCACATGAAAAAAAGTGGTGGACACTTATCTTGAAGAAGGTGCAGAGTATACTCTTTTCTGATAAAGATTTACTTTTAAATTGATCATTTTCAAACCATGATCATTTGTTCTAATTTCTTTCTAAATGACAGTATCTGAGACTCTTTTCTTTATTTAAAAACTTGGCCCTGAAATTTTTTTTCTAAACCAAAAACATTCTGAAAAGTCTTTAGAATTATATCATGTGAATCATGTAGATTTAAGAATCACCTAATGACCTTCCAGCCAGAAAGTTTTGTCTGAAAACTTGATGACCAAACATATTTTCTCGGATAATCAAAATATTTGTGTTCAATAATGAGTTGATAGCAGATCGCTAGAAAGCAGTGTTTGTTAAATTGATTGTATCTGTATATTTGATTGAAAAATTGCTTATCTAGAGTTACTTATCATTGGAACGTTTAGACAAATTTAATACTTATAAAGTACGTTAAAAGAATGATGAATTTCTATTGCTTGGTCTTGTCTTGGATAGTGAGTAAATGTAATAATGACTGTGTTAAGAGCTTACTTGAACCATAACTTGATTACAAGTTGTTTCGTTTTCATTTGCTGTAACACTGTATTTATGGGCATGCAATATTGTTTCCTGTCCAGTTATTTGGCAAAATGGTGTATTTCCAGGAAGGCCACCAAACCAAATCATGCTCTGGTGCAAGTCCTGGCCTCTAGGTATTTGTCAGGGCAACTGAAAACTATTTGCCCTCCTTCTTAAATGTTGACAATAAATGGTTTGAGTATTAAAAAAAATGTCCCAAGTATTAAAATCCTACGGAAGTTATTTCTGTTCTTAATTACTCCATTCTGAAATTATTGCCCTTTCCCATGGAATAGTTTGACTGTTTAACAATTTAGAAAGGTTTTAGTTCTGAAATTGAACTACTTAAATATGTGTTGCAATGTTCACTTGCTTCAAAGGAATCACAACTAATATAAGATTGAATAGATTCTTAGAGCATTGTGATGTGATCGTAGATGAATAGTTCAGCCATATTTGTAAATTGTAGTGTGGGGGAAGGGATGGTTTCTTGTGTTAAATTCATACATGCATTAATTAAATGAATGAGGCGGTTGCAAAATGATACATCAACATTAATTTTTCACATTAGATAAGTTGATTTATGAAAATATTAATTTAAATATACATTATTTAATATATCTTGGAAGAATTTTCTTTATTCAAAATTTTTGCAAAGCTTAATGGGGCAGTCAGATCTTTTTTTGTTTTTATTTATGATATGTGGATGTTTATCCTGCAGTCAGACCACATATTTTATCACTCATAGTTGTGTCAGTTTATTCTGTCATACACGATTAGCATATTGAAATCAGTTATTTCATCCAACGTATAGATAACTAGTTTTTAACTTTGATGTCCTAGAGTTCAAGTTCCTTGATGTGTTTGATTTTCACAGACACATTTACATGGTGTAGCTAATTTCTAAAATTCCAGTTTTTACATTTCAGTTTTTGAATGTGCCAATGTTCAGGAATGTCACATTAAAGTGTCTCACAGAAATTGGTGAGTAATTCCTGTAGAAATAGATCTCCATGTCTCAATTATGGAAATGTTTGAGAAATCTCAGCTGATTATATCTTAGTATTGTACTGTTGTTAGTTGTAGTGCAAATACAATAAAGAATTGTTCATGATCTGTTTGAAGGTTTTAAACTGATCATCAGCTGCTTCTTGTAGTTTTTCTAACATGATTGAAAGATTGAACCAGTAGCAGTACTGATTAGAGTTTGTCATACATAGGAGTACAATTTCTTATAAGGTACATGTAAGTATACATGATTATGTGGATTAAGTATTCTTTTAACTTCATTTTGGTTAATTTATCATTTGTTTTTGTTTTATCATAATTATTGCTGATTAAATTTCTATTTCAGCTGCTGTTCAGGTATCACAATATGATGACCAATTTTTACTGCTCTTCAATTTAGGAATGGGGCAACTGAAACAGGTATTTCATTTTTATTTCTTTATTTTAGAAATAGAGAAATGGTGGCATTCTGTGGGACCTTCATCACCCTCAATTATATTTTAGATAAGATTATGCATGAATTTGTTTTAAAGTTGCAGGGATTTTTGTATTTAATATTAAATATCTTTTGCTGTAGAAAATCATTAAATATACATTGGTCTGTTACAGATGCTCCCACTTCAAACTAACCTGAGGGAAGCTTACCAAAGTGGGACAGATGATGAACAGAACTTCATACAAAATCTCAGCCTTTTTCTGTGTTCCTATTTAAAAGAGCATAGTACATTAATTGAAAGAAAACAAGAAAATCATGAGGTTTTACTAGAGGTGAGTGTTTAGATTTACAAACAGGATTCACAATTCTTGATAATTTTAGACCATGTCTTCAAATTTTTTAAGTGATCTTTTCCTGAATACAGGTACAATGGAAATGAAGAGACCAAAAATTTCCTGTTCTCATCCCATATTTGTTTTTATTTTCGTATTGTTCATTATAATGTGCTGTAACTTTTAATGAACAAAATCCACAAAGATATTGTTAAAGGACATGAATAAATTTGTTTTTTTACAACAGGCACTTAATTACCTTATCCTGATATCAGAAGTCGATGAAGTGGAGATTTTCAAAATATGTCTAGAATATTGGAATAGTCTGGCTGCAGATATTTACAGGGAGAGTCCATTTTCTGCTACAAGTTCCTCTCCACTTCTTCTGGGCAAGTCTCACCACAATGAACTACCAGCCCGAAGACAGCTTTACAACCCTGTATTATCGCGCGTACGAAGAGTGATGATCTCTAGAATGGCAAAACCTGAAGAGGTGCTGGTGGTGGAAAATGAACAAGGAGAGGTTGTTAGAGAATTCATGAAAGACACAGACTCAATTAATTTATACAAGAACATGAGAGAAACTCTGGGTAAATCACTTTTGAAAAACATATGAAACTTATGAAAACATGCTTTCAAATGTTTTTGCTTTTGACCACTTTCGTGGTATGTTCTTGGTAAGTTTACACAAGAATGTGAGAGAGACACTAGGTCTTGTAAATGACTTTGGTTCTGCTTTTAAAATGATATATATACTGATACATATGAAAAAAAGTGTTTTGTGCTAGCAATTACATACAATATCCTTGTGTTCTTTGCAGAGAGCAGACAATGGTCAGATATATTTGTTGAAGTAATCTACAATGGAATGAAGTACTCATTTACCATTTTTGTCAGCCACAGTGACATTGACTCTTTATTTTTTTTGTATTTTGATGTATTTCTTTCTTTTAAAGTTTATCTGACACATTTGGACTGTGCTGACACTGAATCTATTATGACTGAAAAACTACACAATCAAGTGAATGGAACTGAATGGTCATGGAAAAATCTCAATACGGTAAGTATCTTAATTCCATTTTGTGTTTTAAAGTGCTTTTGTTACATCAGTGTACTTTTTTTAAGTATTGTGTCTTAAAAAATATGTTGTATAAAGCAAAATGACTAAAAAATTTTTTTAACAGCTGTGTTGGGCTATTGGGTCTATCAGTGGTGCAATGCATGAAGATGATGAAAAGAGATTCTTAGTGATTGTGATAAAGGTGAGTTGGATGAAATAAAAAGAATCTTTGGATGATCCATTACATTTTTTGTTTCATAAAAACTTGTTCCTACTCACAAGTTTAACTTCAGTCAGCCTTTTCATCAGAATGTATATAATATGTGTGTGCAGTACTTTACAATAATGTCAGGATTTAAACCCCAGACATCTGAATTACTTGTCTGACACTCAGCTGATCAAACTAACGAGAAATTCTTTCTGCCTGAATGACATATTGTGGCTAGTACTTACCAGGGTTACATACTCCTCTTCTAGGAAAGAAATTGTCACCAAGTTTTCAGAGCAATGTTTTGGGATAATGCTAAATACTATTCAGGAGTCCATACATTGGGGCTAATATAACAGAGGGCAATATTTATTCCAATGCACCTGAAAGGATTTTCCCCTTCGACCTTGACTAGTCAGACGCTCGAGCGATTGAGCTTAGAGAAGTTCTCTTTAGCTGAGCTGTATATTGCTGCTAGCATTTACCAGTGTTACAGATATATTATGAACTGGCATTTGCAGTGTAGTACCTCAAGCTGTATCATAATGATTGATATTCTCCAGGACTTGCTTGGTCTATGTGAGCAGAAGAGAGGAAAGGATAACAAAGCCATCATAGCATCCAATATCATGTATGTGGTAGGGCAGTACCCACGATTTCTCCGGGCACATTGGAAGTTTCTCAAGACAGTTGTCAACAAGTTATTTGAATTTATGCATGGTGAGTATTTTGTAGGATTTTTAATGAGCTGGTCAAAGATAACAAATTAATGTCATAACAGCCAGATTGATATTTGGTGCTTTTACAGAGAATGGAGTATAAACTTTGTGACTTGTTTCTTCAGAAACTCATGATGGTGTACAAGATATGGCCTGTGACACCTTTATCAAGATAGCACAGAAATGTCGTCGTCATTTTGTACAGGTACAGGTGGGCGAGGTCATGCCTTTCATTGAGGAAATTTTAAATGGCATCAACACAATTATCTGTGATCTACAACCACAACAGGTAAATAAATCAACTCAAATGTTTAGATGTATGCATGAACTTCTAACAGTCTCTATTTTTGTGCTAAACAATTTCATAATTGAACTATTGCATGCTAACAAAAATGAAATAAATACTATGATGTATATATTCTATATTTTCCACTGTTTCCAGGATAATGATCGAAACCAATGAATCAGAAAGCAGATAGGTTAATAAAAAATGTGCTTTATAGAATTAATTGGATGTGGTAAATACTTGATTTTCATGAGATTGACACATATTGTTCCTAGGTCCACACATTTTATGAGGCAGTGGGTTTAATGATCAGTGCACAGACCGATCAGGTAGCTCAAGAACATCTAATCGAGAGGTACATGCTACTACCAAACCAAGTATGGGATGGCATCATTAATCAGGCTACACAGAATGTAGAGGTCCTTAAGGATGGTGATGCTGTAAAACAACTTGGAAATATTCTGAAAACTAATGTGCGAGCTTGTAAAGCTTTAGGTCACCCCTATGTTGTACAGGTGAGTAACAAATTTCTCCTACTGAACAACATTGCCAATTATGAAGACATCAGTTATAAAGTTAAGATTACAAGATAGCAATAAATAAATCAGAGGACATTTTTATGTCTCCTATATCTTGTATATATTGTATGAATTGTATATTAGTGTAAAAATCCTGTTGTTATTCAAGGATTTATACCTGGTATTTCTTTCCTATTTAATTGCTGTAGATTTTGCTAGAAGCTGGAGCATAGTAAATCACATATTGAGGTTATGGTTGTCCTACTTGTTTGTTTGTATTGATTTAGTTGGGAAGGATATATCTGGATATGTTAAATGTGTACAAAGTCATGAGTGAGAATATCAGCAGTGCCATAGCGACCAATGGTGAGAGTGTCACCAAACAGCCGCTCATCAGGAGCATGAGAACAGTCAAGAAAGAAACACTCAAGTTGATATCAGGATGGGTCAGTCGATCCAATGACCCTGCTATGGTATGTGTATTAATACTTTGTGGTATCAAATGATACCTAACTTAAAATTAAAACTGTTCTTAATTTACAAGACAAAAGCAGATGACAGTGGAAATTGGAAAATCAGTTTTTGAAATGAAGAACCAAATCAAATGATTTAAGTTTTAATTTTTCAAGACAAACTTTTATTTTGTGCAGGTTGCAGAGAACTTCATCCCACCTCTATTAGATGCTGTATTACTTGACTATCAAAGGAATGTGCCAGCTGCTAGGGAACCAGAAGTGCTGAGCACAATGGCCACCATTGTCAACAGATTGGAAGTGAGTATATGAAATAGACTTAAAAAGATTTGGCTTTAATTTTTCGGTATGGACAAACAATATGAGTATAATGTAATGCTGTTTTGCTTCAAGTGGTAACTCCATATCTAAAACACTTTGTTTCACAGAATCATATTACCAAGGATATTCCCCAGATCTTTGATGCTGTATTTGAATGTACATTGGACATGATCAACAAGGACTTTGAAGAGTTTCCAGAACATAGAACAAATTTCTTTTTGCTCCTGCAAGCTGTCAACTCACATTGCTTCCAAGGTTTGACCATTATTTAAATTAACTTTAGTAACATCCACCACATTTACCAAGACAATGAGTACAAATGAAAGTAAAGTGAGGAAAAAGAACTACCAACAGACATACACCACTACTCTATAATCTTTATTTACTGATAACACAGAAAAATCAGTGTTAAATAATTTGGCATGACAGATAGTGGGTTGAATTGACATATCTTTGTAATCATGTATAGTGTATATGGACTAGTGTGTTTATTTTAGTCCACCTCTCCTTGAACATTTCTTGCTATTGCTATTTCATAAGGAGTATTTGATATATCATTTTCAAATTGTGCATTGCCCAATATTGGGGCTAATCTGAAAAACAAAATCTGCAAGAAAAGTAGCTGTCTTGGATTTTGACAGGAATAAAATGTATCACTATTTCTTAAAAAAAGTTGTATGGATCATTTTCAAATTTGATAAATATGTTCTTCTCTGTCCCTAGTTGGATATTGTCTGAATTTGGGACCGATTCCAAAAAGAAATTGGCTGACAGACAGCCGTCTTGGTTTTGGACAGTTATTGTTATTTTTAGAGAAGTACTTGGATTATTCCCAAATTTCATGTGTGTTATCCCTTTTATCCTAGTAGTGCATTGTCCCATTTTCGGACTTATCTGAAAAACAAAATTGCTGATGGCAGCCATCTTGGATTTTGCCAATAAAAGTTTGTCTTAGCTGTTTCTCAGGAAGTACTGGATTGATCATTCTCAGATTTCATATATAGTTTCCCCCTGGTGGCCCTTTCTATTCTGAGGCTTACAATCAGGCAAATAAAATGGCTGAGAGACGATTTGCTTTGATTTTGACAGAAAAAGTTATGAATCACTAATTGGTGGGAAATACTGCAGGATCTTTTTTCAGATGTTTTTTTTTTAAAGTAGGTTTCACTCAGTCCCTAGTTTGCCCTTTTGATTTTGGAACTGATCAGAAAACCAAAATGGCCGACAGGCAACCATCTTGGATTTGTAAATTAATTTGTATTATGACCATTTTTAACGAGGAGATTTCAAATTACTTTTAAGTAATAGTCACATCAGAGGAAAAGATACAACTTTTGAAGAACAAATAAAGACCAAACAATGGTAGACACCAAGATCCCAGATGGGATATTCTATGACTGTTTAAAGTGAGAAAAAGTCCTACTTAAATAAACTCTGGATTTAGCATGTAACCTTATGTTAGAATGCTGTTCATGAGTTTAAAGGTCTACAACTGGAAAAAGTGATACTATGAAATTGTCTTAATACTTTCTTGCTTAAAACATTTTAGAATACCCTAGTAGTATCATTGATATTTAATGCAAATGAATCTTCTCTTCCAGCTTTCTTGAATATTCCACCTGCGCAATTTAAGTTGGTGTTGGATTCAATAATTTGGGCATTTAAACACACTATGAGGAATGTTGCAGACACTGGACTAGACATTCTCTATGTATTGCTTCAGAATATAGCCAATGAGGAGACGGCTGCCCAGAGCTTCTATCAGACTTACTTCACAGACATATTACAGCATGTGTTTTCTGTTGTGACAGACAGTTCACACACTGCAGGTAAAGTTTTTATCAGTATCAAACTTTGGGTATATGGCAGTAACTCGGCTTGGTTAAACTTACAGTATTCCAATAGATTTGTTATGAAAACTTGTTTTGAAGTCAAAATTTATTTAGGTAATCCTGATTCTACTATTCCTTCATCATTATTTATTTTCACTTTTCTTGAAATGTTAACTTTTTTAATTGCAGGTTTGACAACACAAGCAACAATTTTGGCGTACATGTTTGTATTAGTGGAGACAGGCAAAGTCACAGTGGCTCTTGGTTCCAATTCATCATCATCACAAAACGTTCAATACATACAGCAGTTTCTCCTCAACCTTCTCAAAGCAGCATTTCCTCATCTCAATGAGTAAGTCATATACTATCAGAGAGTCTAGAAATATTAATGGTGTTAGGAAATGGGTTATGTGCAATTAAAGACTTAAATAAAACTGGTTTTATAAGAAGTATGACAAGAGAGACGGCACTGTAGGAACATCAGGGAGTAGTAAAAGAGAGAGTTGTATGATAGCTAGTTATCAGAGAGTTGGAGAATAGGAGATAGTGATATGGTAGCTGATCAATAATATAGGACATACTGATCAGAGAATTGCTAAGTACTTGAGGAGCTAGTGTTAAGAGAACCTGTTAATACTATATGAGATAGTAATCAGTTAATTGGTATATACTATAAGAACTAGTGTTAAGAGAATTGGTCAATAATATTGGAGCTGGTGATTAAAGAATTGGTCAATACCATTCAAGCTTGTAATTAGTTTACTGGAAAGAGTTAGCACTAAGAAAATTGTTAATACTATATGTAAGCAATCCGAGAATCGGTAAATGGTGAAGGAACTAGTGATTTGGGAATTGGTAAACACTGTTTGAGCTAGTGATTAGAGAATTTATAAATACTGTAGGAATTAAGAGATCAGAGAATTAGTAAACATCTTTGGAGTTTGTGATCAGGTTATGAGTAGAATTGGTAAATACGGTAGGAGTTAACGGAACGTTTATGTACTCTGCCAATTGGTATATACTATAAGTGCTACTAATAAAAATTGATGAAGATACAATTCATAATCATTAAGATTCTCATCATATTCATGATATGATCATTTCTGATTTCAGGCCACAAATCCGTGTGTTTATTGAGGGTGCTTTCAGCTTCGATAGAGATATCCCAGCATTCAAGGAGCATGTCCGGGATTTCCTTGTGCAGATCAGGGTATGTTGAATGTTTCAATTCAATTTCTAACATTGGAACTAATCCCTACTCTGGTACTACACATTGTTTAAATGTTGCACATTTAATTTTTACTTTATGTACTGATAAAATAACAATAAAACAAAACCTTTGCTGACTTTGTTCTTTTTTGTTTACAGATTACTTGTTTTATGTTCACAAATAAATTTTTGCTACATAAAACAAATTGTTATTTTAGATAAGAATTCACATTGTTACTAGGAATTGTTAAGCTGAAACTTTTTTCTGTATATCCTGCAGGAGTTTGCTGGTGAAGACAACAGTGACTTGTTCCTTGAGGAGCGAGAAGCAGCAATAAAACAAGCTGCTGATGAGAAACGAAAGGTACAGATGGCTGTTCCTGGTATCATAGGACCACATGAGATTCAGGAAGACATGCAGGATTAAAGTTACCAAGGATTACTTTTGGTCCAGTGAATCTCTGCTGTAACATGAAAAGGGAACACTTCCAATTGGGAGCTGGTTCATCATCTGCTTGGTCAGAAAGCAGAACATTGAACATGATCAAGTGATGAAGCAATGGACCGGGTGCACTTCAGAGAGCCACATGGGTTCGTGATTGATCTGTTTGTCACACATGTCTATCTTGGAATTCCCACCTAAGTACATGTTGTGATCTTAAAATGCAAAAGATCCTGTAAGTGGACTGGATGACCTAATCACCTATTGATGAAGGAGCATAATGAGTAAAGGTATTATTGATACAGCTTGTAGCTGTATATAAAATTATGGAAATGGAGGGTTGAATGTCTCTTCACATAACAGATGATAGATTGATAACAGACAATCTGTGAAGCGAGGTGTTTAAATCTCGGCTTAGTGCTTTTTAAATATGAAAGAGAGTATACAGCTTGTATGTGATGTATGTTATCTGAAGTAAATGATTAGAGAAATCGAGTTTGAACCATGTTATACCATGTTATATTGAACAATGAATTACAGTTATAGGTTATAAATGCAGCATTGACTTTTTAATTACGCAATGCAAATCTTTGGTACTCGTACCAACGATGTCAGAATTGGAAACTCACTTTCCTTGATATATTATAAACACTAAATAACTTGATATTCTGAATATTTAGTTTTTGCCAGGAGGCTAAAACCAACACTGCTTTTCAATGTCTATATCTTGGAGGAATTTCTTCTCCCTAAACAGTAAAGAAAATATCAGGAATGAGGGAAAGTTAAGTTTACAGATAAAAGGGTCCATCCTTTAGTATCTGCGATATTAAATTTTGAACATGTTTACAGAGCACATGGTCAATTCAAAATTAAGATATCAAATGATTTAGTGCACAAAAGTACATCTTCAAGTTGTTGGCTTTAAGTAAACCTATTACTTTTACTAAATACATTTTTTTTCTTAAGATTGTGTGGGTTTTTTTTTTTTTTTTTATCAAATTCAGAGCTCATAAATGAAATGTTTAGTTATTTTTGCTAGACTTAATGCGAGTCTTTGGTTGGCAGAGCTATAAATACTTTAAGTATGATTGGGTGAAGGCTGTCTTCAACTGTGTTGTAAGTATCATATACTGTTACAATACTCTTGCCAAAACTTTGAATACAGCAAAGGGAGGGAGGAGTGTCTAAACATTTTTTTCAATTTTTTTTTCTAGAAGTCTTTCCACATATAAGCTAGGCCTTAATAAGTTAAATGTCTCAACAATTACATGCTAATCACTAAGCTATTTCCTCCAACAGTACTGGAAAAAAATGTATTTTAATAGCTTTGATCATGTCGTAATCACTATGAGAATGTTGATATTTTATGTATGATACGATTGTGTTCTCTGTATATTGGTAATCCTTGCACTGGAAGACGAAATAATGACTTGCATTACGAGGATTAGCAATTTAACAGCATGTTATGTTTTCACAAATAATTTTGATTTAATTGAATATTTTGTATACATACAGTAAAATAGATCAAAAGACAGTGAAGTGTCATATTTGATAGAAGTACTTGAAAGAAATCAGTGGTTTTATTCTGATTTAGAGTACTTTATAAATCTGAAGTTTATCACTTGCTGATTTGTCACTGGATTTAGTTCTGGAAATTACTGAAATGGTATATTTAATAGACAGATTTGCTCTTATTCCAAGTGAAATATACTGATGACATCTCATTTGTCGATGCAATGGAAACAGAAACAATATAAAACCATTGCCACTATGTTGTCATTATCACAGATTAGTTCTCCTGAGTATGAATGGTTTAGAAGCGATCAGAGTGGGGTTTTCTTTCTTTATTTTTTTAATGAAATTGCAAATGTATAAAATAATGGAAAACATTTCATTAACTTGTTACTGTAAGGTTCCAATGTCATGAAATACATAGTGTTTTTGTAAATCAAAATTGACGCGTATCTTTTTGTTTACTTTGGTCTCGCTTTACCATTGATAATGACGTAACAATTGAAATCCACACTCTAAGTCAAGTAAATGCAAGTGTTTGATATCAGGCATTTTTTTACTCGCTCAGATAGAGCCTTCCTTTTGAATTAATGGAGGACGAAAAAGAACTGATGATGCTGTGACGTATCGTCTGTCGTTTAGGTGAGGCCATCAGAATTTAAGCTTTGAAAAAAGGCCTTCTTAAAACAAGAAAAGTTAACATCCATGATACCAAGTGAGTGTTGTAATCCCAGTGGAATTATGACTAGATCTATTGGCATTTAAGTTAAGAGTATAATGGCAGTAATATTTCAATGTATCAATAATTATTTGGTATTCATGTACAATATGTTGTGGTGCTTGAAAGGCATGGACTTCAATATTTGTATGCTCATATTTAATTTTTAAAACACCAACAATTACTTTGTAAATTTGCTTCAAACACCATAAAGGTCATTTCCTTGTCAGATCCACCATGTAGATTCCATGTTTAGTTTATCATAGACTGACTATAATAGCCTTGTAGTGTGTTAAATTTAAATTTGGAGCATTACAACAGAACATGTACATGTAATACCAGATCAGTGGTTGTGTAAGAGAGGTATTTTTCTTCTAGAATTGATCATCTGGAATTTAGTCGGATTTCTTACTAATATGCAGCTAAAAATCAATAATGCTGTTATGTAACAGTAAATTATTAAATATCATTATATTTCTTAAGCTGTTTTCTTAAAGAAACAAACTATTGAACTGTTTACATTAAACATATTACCTCACCTGATATTTTAATGGAAAAATCCTCTCTTTAAAGATTTTCTGTTTAAATGAATATACATTGTACAGGTATTGCCTTGCTTCTAAAAGGTAATTTGCATCACTTACGTACCATGTTATCAAACTGAATAAATAATTGTTTTACAATTTGAATTTAAATTTTGATTTAAATAAAATGTTCAACAGCAATGGGAAAAAAATTAAAAAAATTCTAAATTCCTGTAACATGTCTTATATCATTCTTTAATAAGAGGTAGTGCTCTTTCTAATACTCCTGCTTTGAATGCCTCAATCACTTCAACAAAAATTATAGATATTGTAGTCTCCTTGAGCATTAGGGATATTTTTCTGACACAACAAGAGCATTGAAAGAACTTATGGATGCCCCCAAAAGAAACGCTAGCACTTTCAGTGTTGATACCTCTTATTGCTATTGCCATCATGATTTGTCTGTCGTCCTTTTCACATATTCGACTTCTTCTCAAGAACCACTGAATGGATTTTGACCAAACTTGGCACAAAGCATCCCCATGGGAAGCCGCTTCAAGTTTGGGAAGAAAAAGGGCGTGGCCCCAGGAGGGGGTAAAATTAGGTAAATCTTTAAAAATCTTCTTCTCATGAACCAACAGTCAGATTAAGTTCTTATTTGATATTTAGGGTCCTTAAGGTCTACAAAGTTTGCGAATGAAAAAAAAGATCTGGTCAAAAACGGCCCCACTAGGGAGCACTCAAAAGGGTAACAAATTCAACTTTAACTGATTTCAACCAAATTTGGTAGAAAGCATCCCTTAGTGAAGTCCATATGAAATTATGTTGAAAAAGTGATTATGTCCCCTTTGGGGCCCATAAGGAGTGTAAAAGGGGCCATATGTAAAAACCTTTAAATGACTTCTTCTCAAGAACCAGTGGATGGATTTTGGCCAAACTTGGCACAAAGCATCCCCATGGGAAGCCGCTTCCAGTTTGTGAAGAAAAAGGGTGTGGCACCAATAAGGACCGTAGGAGGGGGAAAAAGGTGGTAAAATTAGGTAAATCTTCAAAAATCTTCTCATGAACCAACATTCAGAGAAAGTTCGTGCGTTGTTAACTTTTTAGGTCACCTGAGCCAAAGGCACATGGTGACCTATTGCCATCATGATTTGTCTGCCGTCCTGCATCGTTAACTTTTCACATTTTCGACTTCTTCTCAAGTGGTTCTTGAGAGGAAGTCCAAAATGTCTTAGTCAAACAGAGGTCAGGGTAGCCATCTTGGATTTTGAATCGCCCTAAAAAGTTAAAACACTTGCCAGGACCCTGTGAAGAGCATTCGTATCAAGTTTAGACATGATCAACCCAGTGGTTAATCTGACTGTTGGTTCATGCGAAGAAGATTTTTAAAGATTTACTTAATTTTAACCCCTTTTTCCCCCTCCTTGGACCCCTATTAGGGGCACGCCCTATTTCTCCGCAAACTTGAAGCGGCTTCCCGTGAGGATGCTTTGTGTCAAGTTTGGTCAAAATCTATTCAGTGAGGCCATCAGATTTTTAAAGATTTACCTAATTTTACCACCTTTTTCCCCCTCCTGCGGCCCCTATTGGGGCCACACCCTTTTTCTTCACAAACTGGAAGCAGCTTCCCATGGGGATGCTTTGTGCCAAGTTTGGTCAAAATCCATTCAGTGGCTCTTGAGAAGAAGTCGAATATGTGAAAAGTTAACGAAGCACAACGCACGACGACAGCTAAAACTGATGGCAATATCTTCTTCAAATGAACCAAGTATCAGATTTTCCTAAAATTCAAAATTAATAATTCTTAGAGCAAGGTCTACAAAGTTTACGAATTTGAAAAAAAATTGGGTCATAAACAGGCCCTCCAGGGGCACTAAAAAGGGGTCAAAATTCAAAGTTGATGGATTTCAACCAGATTTAGTATATAGGGTCCCCTAGTGAAGAACATGTGACTTTGAGTTGAAAAAAAGTGTCTGAGGGGTTTTGGGGCCTCATGGGGGGCAAAAAGGGGTCGATTAGATTTTTTTTGAAAAATGGGTTCTAATGGCATTGACCATGTTTTTGGGTTACAACCACACTAAGCACAACACATCTGTGTAATAAGACACATTTAGTTTGGGGAAAAAAGAGTAATGGCAGCAATAGGGGCCTCAGGTGGGGGTAAAAAAGTAAAATTAGGTAAAGTAAGCTTCTTTAAGTTTACAATAGAAAAAGGTGTGGCCTCAATGGGGACATATTTAAGGGGCAGAAAAGGGTAGAATTTGTTAAATCTTAGCAAATCTTGTTGTCCTGAACCAAAAGCGTAACTTCATATAGATAATCTATAGGGAAAGGACTGCATAGTTTGTGAGAATAAAAATAACTGGTCCAAAATTAGCCCATCTGATATTTGTTACATATTAATCTTTAATAAAGACATGTTGTGTGTTTATGACAACCATATAGGCGAGAAAAAATGTGTAGCCAGATCTTTCATCAAACCTGGATCTTATTACTCGCTGAACCTTCTATGTTCTGAGCTACATGTATAATATGGTTCAATACCTGTGGTAACACTATATTTCTCAGCCTTGATACATATATATTCCGGTCTCAGAAGTACCACAAGATTTTTAGGTCATCTGACCCGAAGGGTACGATGACCTATAGTCATCATGCTTCGTCCGTCGTCGTCCGCCGTGCGCCGTCCGTAAACTTTTCATTCAAACGACTTCTTCTCAAATACTAGAAGGTCTAGGGGGCTAATACTTGGCACAGAGGATACTGGCATGGAGCTCTACCAAGTTTGTTCAAATGAATGACCTTGACCCACTTTAAAGGTCACAGGGGTCAAATATGTTAAAATCTTTAAACAACTTCTTCTCAATAACCAAAAGGCTCAGATTGCTGATATTGTGCCTGTGGCATGCTGGGATGAAGGGCTATCAAGTTTGTTTAAATGAATGACCTTGAACAACTTTCAAGGTCACAGGGGTCAAATATGTTGAAATCTTTAAACAACTTCTTCTCATTAACCAAAAGGCTCAGAGTGTAGATATTGGGCCTGTGACATGCTGGGATGAAGGACTACCAAGTTTGTTCAAATGAATGACCTTGACCCACTTTAAAGGTCACAGGGGTCAAATATGTTAAAATCTTTAAACAACATCTTCTCAATAACCAAAAGGCTCAGATTGCTGATATTGTGCCTGTGGCATGCTGGGATGAAGGGCTATCAAGTTTGTTTAAATGAATGACCTTGAACAACTTTCAAGGTCGCAGGGGTCAAATATGTCAAAATCTTTAAATAACTTCTTCTCAAATACTAGAAGGCCTAGAGGGCTAATACTTGGCCCATAGCATGCTGGCATGGAGCCCTACAAAGTTTGTTCAAATGAATGACCTTGGCCCACTTTCAAGGTCACAGGGGTCAAATATGTTAAAATATACAAAGGACTTCATCTCAATAAGCAAAAGTCTATGAGTGCCGATATTGGGTCTGTAGCATGCTGGGAGGAAAGGCTACCAAGTTTATTTAAATGAATGACCTTGAACAACTTTCAAGGTCGCAGGGGTCAAATATGTCAAAATCTTTAAATAACTTCTTCTCATTAACCAAAAGGCTCAGAGTGTAGATATTGGGCCTGTGACATGCTGGGATGAAGGACATCCAAGTTTGTTCAAATGAATGACCTTGACCCACTTTAAAGGTCACAGGGGTCAAATATGTTAAAATCTTTAAACAACTTCTTCTCAATAACCAAAAGGCTCAGATTGCTGATATTGTGCCTGTGGCATGCTGGGATGAAGGGCTATCAAGTTTGTTTAAATGAATGACCTTGAACAACTTTCAAGGTCACAGGGATCAAATATGTTGAAATCTTTAAACAACTTCTTCTCATTAACCAAAAGGCTCAGAGTGTAGATATTGGGCCTGTGACATGCTGGGATGAAGGACTACCAAGTTTGTTCAAATGAATGACCTTGACCCACTTTAAAGGTCACAGGGGTCAAATATGTTAAAATCTTTAAACAACTTCTTCTCAAATACTAGAAGGCCTAGGGGGCTAATACTTGGCCCATAGCATGCTGGCATGGAGCCCTACAAAGTTTGTTCAAATGAATGACCTTGGCCCACTTTCAAGGTCACAGGGGTCAAATATGTTAAAATATACAAAGGACTTCATCTCAATAAGCAAAAGTCTATGAGTGCCGATATTGGGTCTGTAGCATGCTGGGAGGAAAGGCTACCAAGTTTATTTAAATGAATGACCTTGAACAACTTTCAAGGTCGCAGGGGTCAAATATGTCAAAATCTTTAAATAACTTCTTCTCAAATACTAGAAGGCCTAGGGGGCTAATACTTGGCCCATAGCATGCTGGCATGGAGCCCTACAAAGTTTGTTCAAATGAATGACCTTGGCCCACTTTCAAGGTCACAGGTGTCAAATATGTTAAAATATACAAAGGACTTCATCTCAATAAGCAAAAGTCTATGAGTGCCGATATTGGGTCTGTAGCATGCTGGGAGGAAAGGCTACCAAGTTTATTCAAATGAATGACCTCAACCCACTTTCAAGGTCACAGGGGTCAAATATGTTAAAATATACAAACGACTTCTTCTCAACAAGCAAAAGTCCATGAGTGCTGATATTGGGCCTGTAAGATGTTTGGAGGAGAGGCTACCAAGTTTGTTCAAATGAATGACCTCAACCCACTTTCTAGGTTTGGCTTGCTTTTTGTCAGATGACCGTTAAGGCCCATGGGCCTCTTGTTTCACATTGTTTTATGTGAGTTTTTTTAGTTGGATGCCTTATTGTATTAGGGAAGAAAAAGATTGTGGATAGACTTGAAATTAATCTGATTTTTTGTATACTTTAGCTATACATGTATCTACTAAGCTATATTTCAACTTGTAAATGAAAACATGATTTGATTTATATAAATGTGCAACACTGGCCTCTGTTTGGCTAAGACATTTTGGACTTCCTCTAAAGAACCACTGGGTGGATCATGTTCAAACTTGGTACAGATGTTTTACACACGGTCCTTCACAAGTGTTGTTACATTTTTGCAACATTTTAAAATCCCCAGATTATTGACAAATATTCCTCAGGTGACTGTTAAGGCCCCTTGGGCCTCTTGTTTAATGATGCAGACAAAATTTAAGTATGAAAAGTAACTAATGAATTATGCTGAAGAGAGTTATGGTTCTTGTACACTGCACTGCTTACAAAGATCTATCAACCTATGAAGTTTCATGTTGATGCATCTTATAGTTTTAGTGATGTGCTCTGGGAAAAATTATGACGGACAAACAAACGGATGGAAGGACAAAGTGGCGACTAAAAGCTCTCCCTTTGGGAGCATAACATTTAGCTACCTTTTAAAGTTTCAAGATTATACCATTTCTACTTTATGAAATGTGCTTTTAACAAATCTTTAGTATGAAAAATAACTCCTAAATTATAATTAGTTCTTGTGCACTGCCCTTTTTCTGGTTGATATCTGTCTACCTATAAAGTTTCATGTTTATACCACTTATGTTTTAGTGTAGTACTCCAGACAAAAGTTAAGTAGATGGTTCTTGTGCTCTGCACTTCCCCTTGTTGAGATCTATCTACCAAGGAAGTTTCATGTTTATACCACTTTATTGTAATGCCCCAAACAAAATTTAAGTTTAAAAAAATAACAAAAAGAACAATAACCCCTGATTTATGCAAAAGAGAGTGATGGCTCTTGTGCACTGCAATATTTAAGTATGAAAAATAACACAGGGCAATAACTCCTAAATTATGAAAAATAGAGTGCTGGTTCTTGTGCACTGCACTTCTTGTTGAGATCTATCTGCCTACGAAGTTTTCTTTTGATACCTCATATAGTGTTTGTGTTGTGCTTCAAACAAAATTATGATAGACAAAGCAGCAATTATATGATCTTCCTTCAGGGAGCATAAAAATCCAAGATGGCCACCAATGTCTGGGTCTGTAAATAATTGTGCTTGTGGGTCAACAAGACATTTTCCAAAATGGCCATCAATTCTTTCAATAATTCCCATATTACATAATGGCCATGGGCTATTGAGAACTTGTATATGATATTGGAAAATTAAATTAATCTTGTCAAAATGTTGCAATGTGACCACAGAAATAACCCATACAAAATTTGTAAGATAATGAGAATTGTTTAAGAACTGTTGAAGGAAAATATGTCTTGATGACGGGCTTAAGTGCTCTTCAGGTAGTATGTGGATAGCAGTACCAAGTAATTATCTTCAATAATTCAATATACTCTTTTTTGTTTATTTCCTTGGTGCTCAAACCAGTTCATCCAAATTTTGTTTGCATACATTTAGCCCATTTATTTGCTTTCGAAAGTTTTTACAGTGATGGTTTTGTTTATGTTATTCTTGATGTAAGCCTACTCTCACAAAATTACACTGAATAATCTTCTGCTACCTACAGCACAAAAAACATGCATTGCATTAACTTGAATCCTGGAAAGAAATTATGAATTAACATTTATCCCATTTAAAAAACAAAAAACACTCACAATGAAACAAATAATTTTTTCAAGTAATTTTTATTTGAAATTGTTCACCACAAAATTTCACTTTGAAAAAACCCATAAGCTGATATTAAATGATTAGACTATGTTTGTTATATCACATCTAAATAAACATTAGTCACAATCATATACTAAATATAAAACAGAATTGAAAACCAAGATATGAAAACCCTTTCAAATATGGACCAAAGAGCACAGATGTGTCCGCACATGAAAGTATCATCCAGTGTTTACTATGTATACATATGTAGGAAACTACGCAGTATACCTCACAACAGTGCAAGTGGGTTTTTTTTCTCATATTCATGTACATAAGTGAAAATGCTGGTGAAAAATTGAAATAAAACCCCATGGAAATGGGCCCAGAAAAAAAACAATAAGCAAACTGGTATTATAGCCCTATTACATTCATTGATATTATTATATATATATAATATTTGATACATTCTACTAGAAAAGCATCTCCCTCTAATAGACACTCTACACGGATGGTTATCTCCCTCTTTACAAACTCTATGGAGGAAGCATTTCCTTCTAGGAGACACTATGGAAGTGGTTATCTTAAGAGGTACTCTACAGGAGATGCCATCTCCCAATAGATATCTATATGGCAGATCATCTCCCACAGGAGGGGTCATCTCCCTCTAGGAAACACCCTACAAGAGAGGTCATCTCCAAGGAAATGCTCTACTGGAGAGCACATATCCACCAAAGAAACATGCTCTACACTCCTCCTCTAATATGCACTGGAGGATCCTTTCCCTCTACAAGACACTACAGGAGAGGCTATCACTATCTAGGATAAACTCTACAGGAGATATAATCTCCCCAAGGTGAAGCTGCATCAAGGTCATCTACCTCTAGGAGACACCCAATCAGAGAGGTCATCTCTATTTACCTGGGTAGCACCCTCCAAGAGAACACATCTCCGTCTCTTCAAGAGAGATCATCTCCCTCTAGGAAACACACTACTGGAGAACATATCTCCATATAGGAGTCATGCCCTACTAGAGATGCCATCTTTCACTAGAAGACACTCTACAGGAGACATCATTTCCACTATGAGAATCTCCACAGTAGAGGTCATTTCCCTCTCTCTAGGAGAGAATGTAAAGGAGAGGTCATCTCCTTTCTCTAGGAAAGATTCTACAGTAGAGGTCATCTCCTTTCTCTAGGAGAGACTGTACAGGAGAGGTCATCTCCTTTCTCTAGGAGAGACAGTAGAAGAGAGGTCATCTCCTTTCTCTAGGAGAGACAGTAGAAGAGAGGTCATCTCCTTTCTCTAGGAGAGACAGTAGAAGAGAGGTCATCTCCTTTCTCTAGGAGAGACAGTAGAAGAGAGGTCATCTCCTTTCTCTAGGAAAGATTCTACAGGAGAGGTCATCTCCTTTCTCTAGGAGTAACTGTACCTCTCTCTAGGAGAGACGGTACAGGACAGATCATCTCCCTCTCTCTAGGAGAGACTCTTCAGGCGAGGTCATCTCCCTCTCGCTAGGAAAGACTCTAGAGGAGACGTAATTTCCCTCTCTCTAGGAGAGAATCTACAGGAGAGGGTATCTTTCTCTCTAGAAGAGACTCCAAAGGAGAGATCATCTCCCTCTCTCTAGGAGAGACTCTACACCAGAGATCATCTCCCTCTCTCTAGACTAGTCTCTGCTATAGAGATCATTGACCTTTAGGAGACATCCTTCATCAATGTCATTTCCCTCTCTATAGGAGAGACTCTACAGGAGAGGACATTTCCCTCTCTCTACTAGAGACTCTACAGGAGAGATCATTTCCACTCTCTAGGAGAGACTCTACAGGAGAGATCATTTCCACTCTCTAGGAGAGACTCTACAGGAGAGATCATTTCCACTCTCTAGGAGATACTCTACAGGAGAGGACATTTCCCTCTCTCTACTAGAAACTCTACAGGAGAGGACATTTCCCTCTCTCTAGGAAAGGCTCTTCAGGAGAGATCATCTCCCTCTAGGAAACATTCTACAGAAGAAGTTATATCCCACAGGAGATGCTCAACAGGAGAGGTCATCTACAATTTACATATATAAACTAGCAATAAACATCAAGTGATATAAAGACTTGTTGTATGTCACTCATATCCGAGTGACTAGCTGTTAGATACGCTTGTTATGTTATTCAATTTATTGTAATCTGTCCATGATACTTGATCTCTAATAACAGTGAACTCCTAGGAAACATCTAACAGTCAACCTTGTTTATTTTGTAGAATTCCTCTTCACAAGTTGTAAATGGTTTCCTGAAACACAATGCAATATTCTAGTAAGCACATTCCCTGGTTCTCTTCTTCAGAAATTATACATGTACAAGAGAAAAAAATGAGCTATTATTTCCATTGGTACTACAAGTGAATTTTTCAAATATCAGACAACCAGGTTGTTGGCTAAATATTGACATGTGGCAGGATAATCCTCATTCTGCATGTTCTATCCATTCATAATAACCAAGAATTACCATAAGTAGTGGTTTAGCTCCAGTAAAACAGAATAATATATATACTAATGTACAAATGTATTTATGAACAATGAACATATTATCAAAATGTTTTAATTTAAAGATGTCCTATCAAATTATTATTGCTACATAGCAATAAGGCAAATTAACCACAAATATTGAGGAAATCTAAGTACACCACTTAATATACATTATTTTGTTACAGCCCCCAAACTTAGGCTAGAATTACATCTGGAAAAAATGTACCAAGGGCAATAACTCTTTTTAAAATTTGACATCATATCTATATTTTGTTTAAAGCGGAACAGATATCTAAAATTTGGCAGTTGTATTTGATCTAATTGTTGCATAAGACACTGATAAACATACACAGGTCCATCAGTACATATGACACTCATTAACATAGCCAGGTCTTAACTTCTCTTCCATCAGTACATACGACAATGATAAACATAGCCAGGTCTAAACTTCTCTTCCATCAGTACTACAACACTCATTAACATAGACAGGTCTATACTTCTATCATCTCTTCCATCAGTACATACGACAATGATAAACATAGCCAAGTCTAAACTTCTCTTCCATCAGTACTACAACACTCATTAACATAGACAGGTCTATACTTCTCTTCCATCAGTACTACAACACTCATTAACATAGACAGGTCTATACTTCTATCATCTCTTCCATCAGTACATACGACAATGATAAACATAGCCAAGTCTAAACTTCTCTTCCATCAGTACATAAGACACTCATTAACATAGACAGGTCTATACTTCTCTTCCATCAGTACATAAGACACTCATTAACATAGACAGGTCTATACTTCTCTTCCATCAGTACATAAGACACTCATTAACATAGACAGGTCTACACTTCTCTTCCATCAGTACTACAACACTCATTAACATAGACAGGTCTATACTTCTATCATCTCTTCCATCAGCACATACGACAATGATAAACATAGCCAAGTCTAAACTTCTCTTCCATCAGTACATAAGACACTCATTAACATAGACAGGTCTATACTTCTCTTCCATCAGTACATAAGACACTCATTAACATAGACAGGTCTATACTTCTCTCCCATCAGTACATAAGACACTCATTAACATAGACAGGTCTATACTTCTCTTCCATCAGTACATAAGACACTCATTAACATAGACAGGTCTAAACTTCTCTTCCATCAGTACATAAGACACTCATTAACATAGACAGGTCTATACTTCTCTTCCATCAGTACATAAGACACTCATTAACATAGACAGGTCTATACTTCTCTTCCATCAGTACATAAGACACTCATTAACATAGACAGGTCTATACTTCTCTTCCATCAGTACATAAGACACTCATTAACATAGACAGGTCTAAACTTCTCTTCCATCAGTACATAAGACACTCATTAACATAGACAGGTCTATACTTCTATCATCTCTTCCATCAGTACATAAGACACTCATTAACATAGACAGGTCTATACTTCTCTTCCATCAGTACATAAGACACTCATTAACATAGACAGGTCTATACTTCTCTTCCATCAGTACATAAGACACTCATTAACATAGACAGGTCTATACTTCTCTTCCATCAGTACATAAGACACTCATTAACATAGACAGGTCTAAACTTCTCTTCCATCAGTACATAAGACACTCATTAACATAGACAGGTCTATACTTCTATCATCTCTTCCATCAGTACATAAGACACTCATTAACATAGACAGGTCTATACTTCTATCATCTCTTCCATCAGTACATAAGACACTCATTAACATAGACAGGTCTATACTTCTATCATCTCTTCCATCAGTACCTGTGAGAAAACATTACTTACATCACATGTGATACCAGCAGCTTCAAAGCCAAACACTTTCGAGAAGAAATAGAGCTCTCCATCAAGGGCAGTCTGTAAATTTTCTGCTTTTCTAAAGCCATGTTGTTCTCCTGAAAGATGGATGAATTAAAATTGAATGTGAAAAAAATGATCCAATTCACAGCATTAATGACTGTCATTAACAATTACATGATTTTAGTCATCTATATATCAATAGAACCATTATTATCACTGAACTAATGGCAGGCAACAATGAATCAATTGTTGATCATCACTACAGCAATCACCAAATATGAAAGAATTCTTATAAATTTGATATTGTGGGGATCACTACCATCAACATCATGGTTCTTACCCCAGGTATATATAGGTAAATGTTTTGGAGATTTTCATCATTAAGATAGTGTTTATTACATACAAATAATTGTTGCTGTAAATTTTTGTAACCTAATAGATAATTTACCACTATTAATATGATGGTTGTTGTAGACACCACATGAAGTTTAAAACAATATATACACAATTTATATGGCTCCCTACACTTGAGTGGTGAAAGTATTTCTAACCTTCAAATAAGACAAACATGGTAGGTAGGCTCTTCTTCTTTACTGCATCAAACATCATCTGAGCCTGGTTAGGAGGTACAATCTGTAACAAAAGAATCATGCATATAATAAGTTTAACAAGAGGCCTATACGGCCTGTACCCCTCACCTCACAAAATAGATTCCTCTTCACCTAAAAAAGCTTCACACCAAATTTTGTCCTAATCCAATCATTCCCACAGGAGCAGAATTTTAAAGAATTTCCTTTCTATTTCCCCAATTAGACCCCATCCCACGGAATGACCTTTTATTCAAATTTGATTCCCCATCACCTGAGAATGTTTCAGATCATCTTGCAGAAAATCCAATCATTCCTACAGGAGGAGTAGGATTTTAAAGATCTTTGCTCTATTAACTCTATTCAGCCACACCCTCTTGTCCCAGGAAGCTGAGACCTATCATTTATACAAAGATGATTCCTCTTAACTCAAAAATGCTTGATTAAAATTGGGCAGCAACCAATCATTCCTACAGGAGGAGTAGGATTTTGATAGAAATTGGTTCAATTCCCATATTTGGCCCCGCCGCTTTCACTCGAGGGGGACAAAATCCACTGTTTATGAAAAATTGATTCTCCATCACCTAAGAATGCTTCAGGCTAAATCTGGGCAAAATATAATCATTCCTACAGGAGGAGGATTTTACAGAATCTATTTCCCCTTTCGGGCCCCTCTCTTCATGCCAAAGGGGACCAAGACTAGCAGTTTATACAAAACTGATTCTTCTTCAAACAAGAATGCTACAGATTTGTCCAAAATCCAATCATTTCTATAGGAGAGTTCTGACTGAATTTTGTCAAAATCTTGTCAGTCATTTAAAACAAGTAGCATTATTTAGGAAAAATTTGACAAATGAAATACAGACAGACATTGAATGCAACAGTATGCTATAAGCTTACTTGGCCCTTTGAGCATGGTGAGCTAAAACATCATTTATCAGCAAAGAGATTAAGTCATGTAACAACTAATATTTTAGACCATGTTTACTTCACTATCAACCATTTCTACCTCACTATCAACCATATCAACCATGTCTACCTCACTATCAACCTCCCTATCAACCATGTCTACCTCCCTATCAACCATGTCTACCTCACTATCAACCATGTCTACCTCACTATCAATCATGTCTACCTCACTATCAACCATGTCTACCTCACTATCAACCATGTCTACCTCTCTATCAACCATATCAACCATGTCTACCACACTATCAACCTTGTCTACCTCCCTATCAACCATGTCTACTTCCCTATCAACCATATCAACCATGTCTACCTCACTATCAACAACATCTGCCTCACTGTCAACCATGTCTACTTCAATATAAACCATTCTACCTCCCTATAAACAATGTCTACCTCACTATCAACCATGTCTACCTCACTATCAACCATGTCTACCTCCCTATCAACCATGTCTACCTCCATATCAACCATGTCTACCTCACTATCAACCATGTCTACCTCACAATCAACCATGTCTACCTCACCATCAACCATGTCTACCTCACCATCAACCATGTCTACCTCCCTATCAACCATGTCTACCTCACTATCAACCATGTCTACCTCACTATCAACCATGTCTACCTCCATATCAACCATGTCTACCTCACAATCAACCATGTCTACCTCACCATCAACCATGTCTACCTCACCATCAACCATGTCTACCTCCCTATCAACCATGTCTACCTCCCTATCAACCATGTCTACCTCACTATCAACCATGTCTACCTCACTATCAACCATGTCTACCTCCATATCAACCATGTCTACCTCACAATCAACCATGTCTACCTCACCATCAACCATGTCTACCTCATCATCAACCATGTCTACCTCCCTATCAACCATGTCTACCTCACCATCAACCATGTCTACCTCACCATCAACCATGTCTACCCCACCATCAACCATGTCTACTGCTCTATCAACCCTATCAACCATGTCTACCTCACTATCAACCATGTCTACCTCCCTATCAACCATGTCTACCTCCCTATCAACCATGTCTACCTCACCATCAACCATGTCTACCCCACCATCAACCATGTCTACTGCCCTATCAACCCTATCAACCATGTCTACCTCACTATCAACCATGTCTACCTCACTATCAACCATGTCTACCACACTATCAACCCGATCAACCACGTCTATCTCACTATCAACCATGTCTACCTCACTATCAACCATGTCTACCTCACTATCAACCATGTCTACCTCACTATCAACCATGTCTACCTCCCTTTCAACCATGTCTACCTCACTATCAACCATGTCTACCTCCCTATCAACCATGTCTACCTCACTATCAACCATTCTACCTTACTAACCAGAGTATCAAAGTCAACCGTACTTTTAAATAAACAATTGCATTTTTATTTGTACTTCTTTTATGAAATGCAGAATACCATATTTTTTACACTTAAGAATATGAGATTAAATGACAAATACCTTGTCTTCATCTCCCTGAAAGAAGGCCATGGCACATGTAAGGTTATCCACAAAGTTGATAGGAGAACGGGCCTTGTAGATGTTGATGCCATCTCCACTGTAGGGAGCGATCAGTGAGTCTAGGTATCTACTTTCAAACTTATGTGTGTCTTGTGCCAAAGCCTCCAAGTCACTAACACCATAGTGACTGGCACCTGTTGCATACATCATTTTCAATATTATACAGTCTAAACAAGGAACACAACATATCAATTTATCTGACAAATGGTGCTAGACCCAGATACCTGTAACAAAAAGTTTGCCATAAAATCTTTGTTTTACTCTCCTTTTGTATAGGGAAACTATGTGTAAGATGACCTTAACTGTAAAAAGTGATCCAATAGTGAAACTGTAGAATGTGTAATGTAAAAGTTAATTACCAGCTTTGAAGGTAACCTTGAAGTTCTTTGAAATCACAGTTGAGTTTGGTGCTTTGAAAGTGACCTTGAAGTGAGATAGGTGAGTGTGGTGGCCCAGCTGCTTTGAAGGTGACCTTGAAGTGAGATTAAATGAGAATTGTAGCCTACCTGCTTTGAAGGTGTCTTTGAAGGCAAGACAGGCCAAGGTGGTGTAACCCCCTGCTGATCCTCCATCAATACACAGCTTATTGGGATCCACTTTTTTAGAGACTGCCAAGAACTGAGCACCAGAACAGCAGTCATCCACATCATACACACCCCAGCTATGTCAGCAATGGAAGTGATCCGGTTAATACAAAGATCTAATGACAACACTTTAAACTTCAGAAGAAAAAGCCTAAAATGCTGTCTAATGTAGAATAATGATTCAAAGGCTGACTTTATGAAGCTTAAAAACCTACAATTAGGACATGGCAGAAAAGACTCTTACTCAAATGTTAAATTTGTAATTGTTAAATATCTGAACAAGTATTGTGGCCCTGAGTTTGGTATCCACTTACATTGTCTAATTTATACTCAGTAATAACAGTATACTCATACTTTTTGTGTAGTTTCAATCTGTATGTTCGCCCATAGCCTGTAGACCCGCGGTAGTTGACATCAAGGACAGCAAATCCACGACTTGTAAAGTACTGAATCTTGAGGTCTAAATTACTGCTTGACTGTGAGGTGGGACCACCATGTACCTTGACAAGCAGCGGAGGTAAGGTATCCTCAATGCCTATAAAGTCTTTGTTCTGTGGCATGTACAAGTAACCATATGATTTGTCTCCCTTTGACGTAAGCCAGGTTATCTCCTCTGGTGTACTGTAATATCCCTGGTCAATTGACAGCACCTTTGACTCTTTGATAACATTTACCTGTGAAGGATAATTAAGTATTACCTTACAGTGTATAAGAAGAAGTAACAAAAAAATACATCCACATCATTTGGTCTTTCTTGTAATACCAGTAATATATCAAATGTGTTTTCCTATTCCTGTAACGAGAACCAATTGGCATTGTAAAGACACATTATATAACTACTAATACATACGAACTGATAATAACTACATTTCAGAACATATTATAATTCTATAGAAATATTCACAAATAGAGTATTCGAGCGGCGCCTATATGCACATAAATATACTAGTAACACGTACATTACTCTCCGAACAGGTGAGTTTGTGTACCCACCTTGTTGTCACTGGGCTGTACTCACCTTGTCACTGGACTGTACCTACCTTGTTGTCATCAGACTGTACCCACCTTGTTGTGACTGAACTGTACCTACCTTGTTGTTAGTGGACTGTATCTACCTTGTTGTTAGTGGACTGTATCTACCTTGCTGTCACTGGACTGTACCTACCTTGTTGTCATTGGGCTGTACCCACCTTGTTGTCACTGGATTGTACCCACCTTGTTGTCATCAGACTGTTCCAACCTTGTTGTTAGTGGACTGTACCCACCTTGTTTTCATTGACTGTACCCACCTTGTTGTGACTGGACTGTACCCACCTTGTTGTCATTGGACTGTACCCACCTTGTTATTACTGGACTGTACCTACCTTGTTGTCAATGGACTGTACCCACCTTGTCACTGGACTGTACCTACCTTGTTGTCATTCGAATGTACCCACCTTGTTATTACTGGCATGTACCTACCTTGTTGTCATCAGACTGTACCTACATTGTTGTCACTTGGCTGACCAACCTTGTTGTTACTGGGCAGTACCCACCTTGTTGTCACTGGGCTCTACCTACCTTGTTGTCACTGGATTGTACCCACCTTGTTTTTATTGGACTGTACCCATCTTGTTGTCACTAGGCTGTACCTACCTTGTTGTCACCGGGCTGTAGCCACCTTGTTGTCACTGGGCTGTACCCACCTTGTTGTCATTGGAATGTACACACCTTGTTCTCACTGGACTGTACCTACATTGTTGTCATTGAACTATACCTACCTTGTTGTCATTGGACTGTACCCACCTTGTTGTCATTGGACTGTACCCACCTTGTTGTCATTGGACTGTACCCACCTTGTTGTCATCAGACTGTTCCAACCTTGTTGTTAGTGGACTGTACCCACCTTGTTTTCATTGGACTGTACCCATCTTGTTGTCATTGGACTGTACCTACATTGTTGTCACTGGACTGTACCCACCTTGTTGTCACTTGGCTGACCCACCTTGTTGTTACTGGGCTCTACCTACCTTGTTGTCACTGGACTGTACCTACCTTGTTGTCATTGAGCTATACCTACCTTGTTGTCATTGGACTGTACCCACCTTGTTTTCATTGGACTGTACCCACCTTGTTGTCATTGGACTGTACCGACCTTGTTATTACTGGACAGTACCTACCTTGTTGTCATTGAACTGTACCCACCTTGTTGTCACTGGACTGTACCTACCTTGTTGTCATTGGACTGTACCCATCTTGTTTTCATTGGACTGTACCCACCTTGTTGTATTGGACTGTACCCACCTTGTTATTACTGGACTGTACCTACCTTGTTGTCACTGGACTGTACCTACCTTGTTGTCATTAGACTGTACCCACCTTGTTATTATTGGCATGTACCTACCTTGTTGTCATTGGACTGTACCTACCTTGTTGTCACTGGGCTGACCCACCTTGTTGTCACTGGACTGTACCTACCTTGTTGTCATTGGACTGTACCCACCTTGTTGTCATTGAACTGTACCCACCTTGTTGTCATCAGACTGTACCTACCTTGTTGTCACTGGTCTATACCTACCTTGTTAGTGGACTGTACCCACCTTGTTGTCATTGGACTGTACCCACCTTGTTGTCACTGGGCTGTACCCACCTTGTTATCACTGGACTGTACCTACTTTGTTGTAATTGAGCTATATCTACCTTGTTGTCACTGGACTGTACCTTCCTTTTTGTCACTGTACTGTACCTACCTTGTTGTCATTGGACTGTACCCACCTTGTTGTCATTGGACTGTACCCACCTTGTTGTCATTGGACTGTACCTACCTTGTTGTCATTGGACTGTACCTACCTTGTTGTCACTGGACTGTACCTACCTTGTTGTCATTGGACTGTACCTACCTTGTTGTCATTGGACTGTACCCACCTTGTTATTTCTGGGCTGTACCTACCTTGTTGTCATTATACTGTACCCACCTTGTTGTCACTGGACTGTACCGACCTTGTTATTACTGGACTGTACCTACCTTGTTGTCACTGGACTGTACCTACCTTGTTGTCACTGGACTGTACCTACCTTGTTGTCATTGGACTGTACCTACCTTGTTGTCATTGGATTGTACCTACCTTGTTGTCACTTGGCTGACCCACCTTGTTACTGGGCTGTACCCACCTTGTTGTCACTGGGCTCTACCTACCTTGTTGTCACTGGACTGTACCTACCTTGTTGTCATTGAGCTATACCTACCTTGTTGTCATTGGACTGTACCCACCTTGTTTTCATTGGACTGTACCCACATTGTTGTCATTGGATTGTACCGACCTTGTTATTACTGGACTGTACCTACCTTGTTGTCATTGGACTGTACCCACCCTGTTGTCATTGGACTGTACCCACCTTGTTGTCACTGGACTGTACCCACCTTGTTATCATTGGACTGTACCCACCTTGTTGTCACTGGACTGTACCTAACTTGTTGTCATTGAGTTATACCTACCTTGTTGTCATTGGACTGTACCTACCTTGTTGTTACTGGGCTGTACCTACCTTGTTGCCATTGGACTGTACCTACCTTGTTGTCACTGGGCTTTACCTACCTTGTTGTCATTGGACTGTACCTACCTTGTTGTCATTGGACTGTACCCACCTTGTTGTCATTGGAGTGTACCCACCTTGTTGTCATTGGACTGTACCTTCCTTGTTATTACATGGCTGTTCCCACCTTGTTGTCATTGGACTGTACCTACCTTGTTGTCACTGGACTGTACCCACATTGTTGTCATTGAACTGTACCTACCTTGTTGTCACTGGACTGTACCTACCTTGTTGTTAGTGGACTGTACCTACCTTGGGGTCACTGGACTGTACCTACCTTGTTGTCACTGGACTGTACCTACCTTGTTGTCATTGGACTGTACCTATCGTGTTGTCATTGGATTGTACCTACTTTGTTGTCACTTGGCTGACCCACCTTGTTGTTACTGAGTTGTACCCACCTTGTTGTCACTGGACTGTACCTACCTTGTTGTCATTGAGCTATACCTACCTTGTTGTCATTGGACTGTACCCACATTGTTTTCATTGGACTGTACCCACCTTGTTGCCATTGGACTGTACCTACCTTGTTGTCACTGGACTGTACCCACCTTGTTATCATTGGACTGTACCCACCTTGTTGTCACTGGACTGTACCCACCTTGTTGTCATTGGACTGTACCTACCTTGTTATTACATGGCTGTTCCCACCTTGTTGTCATTGGACTGTACCTACCTTGTTGTCACTGGACTGTACCCACATTGTTGTCATTGAACTGTACCCACCTTGTTGTCACTGGACTGTACCTACCTTGTTTTCATTGGACTGTACCTACCTTGTTGTCATTGGATTGTACCTACTTTGTTGTCACTTGGCTGACCCACCTTGTTGTTACTGAGCTGTACCCACCTTGTTGTCACTGGGCTCTACCTACCTTGTTGTCACTGGACTGTACCTACCTTGATGTCATTGAGTTATACCTACCTTGTTGTCATTGGACTGTACCCACCTTGTTTTCATTGGACTGTACCCACCTTGTTGTCATTGGACTGTACCGACCTTGTTATTACTGGACTGTACCTACCTTGTTGTCATTGAACTGTACCCACCTTGTTGTCACTGGATTGTACCTACCTTGTTGTCATTGGACTGTACCCATCTTGTTTTCATTGGACTGTACCCACCTTGTTGTTTTGGACTGTACCCACGTTGTTATTACTGGACTGTACCTACCTTGTTGTCATTGGACTGTACCTACCTTATTATTACTGGAATGTACCTACCTTGTTGTCATTAGACTGTACCCACCTTGTTATTATTGGCATGTGTCTACCTTGTTGTCATTGGACTGTACCCACCTTCTTGTCACTTGACTATACCTACCTTGTTGTCAGTGGACTGTACCTACCTTGTTGTCACTGGGCTGTAGCCACCTTGTTGTCATTGGAATGTACACAGCTTGTTGTCATTGGACTGTACCTACCTTGTTGTCATTGAACTATACCTACCTTGTCATTGGACTGTACCCACCTTTTTGTCATTAGACTGTACCCACCTTGTTGTCATCAGACTGTACCTATCTTGTTGTCACTGGACTATACCTACCTTGTTGTCAGTGGACTGTACCCACCTTGTTGTCATTGGACTGTACCCACCTTGTTGTCATTTGGCTGTACCCACCTTGTTGTCACTGGATTGTACCTACCTTGTTGTCATTGGATTGTACCCACCTTGTTGTCACTGGACTGTAGCCACCTTGTTGTCACTGGGCTGTACTCACCTTGTTGTCATTGGAATGTACACACCTTGTTGTCACTGGAGTGTAACTACATTGTTGTCATTGAACTATACCTACCTTGTTGTCATTGGACTGTACCCACTCTGTTGTTATTGGACTGTACCCACCTTGTTGTCACTGGACTGTACCCACCTTCTTATCATTAGTCTGTACCCACCTTGTTATCATTGGACTGTACCCACCTTGTTGTCATTGGACTGTACCTACCTTGTTATTACATGGCTGTTCCCACCTTGTTGTCATTGGACTGTACCCACATTGTTGTCATTGGACTGTACCCACCTTGTTGTCATTGGACTGTACCTACCTTGTTGTCATTGGACTGTACCTACCTTGTTGTCAGTGGACTGTACCTACCTTGT